TCTTTTCTCTCTGTCTCACTTTAATTAATGCAAGAATTTTCCTATATGAAATTCTACATGTGCTTATTCAAATTAGATTCACAAATACATCGGTATATTGAGGATTAGCTTCTCCCTGAAAATATTGGGTAAGCTTATTAAACAAAAAGGGGATGTTTTTATGGCCTTTAAACATTTCCTCAGCATGGTTAGCACCCAATATCAGTGCCACATTCGTGTTTTACAATCTGATAATGGGATGGAGTATCTTGATAGGAACTTTACTGATTTTCTTAGTCACCATCATCAAACTTCCTGCACTTACACTCCACAACAGAATGGCTTGGCTGAGAGGAAGAACTGACAACTTATGGAAGTAGTTAGGGCATACCTATTTGGCATGAATATGCCTCGGACTTATTGGGGAGAGGCTGTGAAATCAACTGCATACTTGATTAATCGTACTCCCTCTCGGGTCTTGGCTTTTCAAACTCCTCAACAAAAGTTGCAGTCTTTTTTTTCTATCCCTCATATTCCAAACTTGGAGCCTAGGGTCTTTGGTTGCATTGTGTATGTTCATATCCCCAACCTCTACGCACCAAGTTAGATCCTTGTGCTAAGAAGTGTGTATTCGTGGGTTACTCAAATCTTCAAGAAGGAGACCGGTGTTATGATCCCATCCTTCACAAAATGCATATTACTTTGGAAGCATCTTTTCAAGAATCTGAGCCTTGTTACTTAGGGGGAGCCTCCGAGACTTCTCCTCAGAGGGAGAGCTATAGTGGAGAAGAAGTCTTCTTTGATGGATGGAATCCAACCAAGAGCAACTCTTCCCCAATAACTGAAAATGCTTCTACCCTTGATGGACTTCCACCTATTATCACTACCCCTGATCATGCCCCTGCTGATATGGTGCGTACTCCATCTACTGAACTTCCAACATTAACACCCATAACAAAAGAATCATCTAGAGATGTCACTGATACCTCACCCGAGGAAAATACTGAGGTACCTTCTTTCTCAACTCCATTTGATTTACCTGAAACACATATTCCTACTGAAAATATCTTAAATCCTTCACATATTAATATTAGGAGTTCCTTGAGACCTAACAAAGGTGTGCCAAAAAATCAATATGAACCAGACCCAAAGCAAATGTTAAATATCCAATTAGTAGCTACGTATCCACTCATAGGCTATCTGAATCGCATGCTCTGACGGTTAATCAATTGTCTAGTGTATCTGTTCCTAACAATTTGCAGGAGGCCTTACATGATCCAAGGTGGAAGAAAGCAATGAATGAGGAAATGGAAGCATTACAAAAGAACTCAACATGGGAACTGATTCCCTTGCCAAATGGAAAGAAAACCATAGGGTGCAAATGGGTGTTCACAGTTAAACTAAAAGCAGATGGAAGCATTGATAGGTACAAAGCTAGACTGGTAGCAAAAGGATACACACAGAAGTACGAAGTAGATTATCAAGACACTTTTGCCCCGGTTGCCAAACTCAATACTATCCGAATTCTTTTGTCTATTGCTGCAAACAGAGATTGGCCCCTAAAACAATTTGATGTTAAAAATGCCTTTCTAAATGGAGATCTTGAAGATGAGGTCTATATGGAGATACCACCAAGTGTCAAAAAGAGCTCCATGGGAAAGAATGAAGTTTGCAAATTGAAGAAAGCTTTATATGGGCTCAAGCAATCACCTCGAGCCTGGTTTGGAAGATTTTCTCAAGCCATGAAGAACTTTGGGTATAACCAAAGTAATGCAGATCATACTCTCTTCATAAAGAACAAAGATGGAAAGGTAACAGCATTGATAGTGTATGTTGATGACATGGTTTTGACTGGTGATGATCCATGTGAAATGAAGTTATTACAGAAGTATCTAGCAACTGAATTTGATATGAAAGATCTGGGACAACTCAAATACTTCTTAGGCATCAAAATTGCTCGATCTAAACAGGGAATCTTTCTCTCTCAAAGAAAATATGTACTGGATCTTCTTGCTGATACAGGATTGCTTGCATGCAAACCAGTGGAAACACCTATAAAGATGAACCATTCACTTGGTATCTTCCCTAATCAAGTCCCAACCGATATTGGCAGGTATCAAACGTTAGTTGGTAGACTAATTTATTTATTGCACACTAGGCCAGATATTATGGGTGTTCATCAACCGATCCAAACCGATTCAAACCGCGGTAACCGAACCGAAAAATCAATAACCGAATAAACCGAAAACTGAAAATCGAAAAACAACTGCAAATTTTAATTGGATTGCATCGGTTTTCGGATTGGTTAATGAAAACCGATCCAATATATTAATTTCTCTCTACCTACTTGGGTTTTTCCCCAATCATAATCCAAAAATTTCTAAACCAAAGACCCATTAACCCATCAACTAAACCCAATAAAAAACATTGTCACATCTCATTAACAAAATGTAATCTGTGTAGAGCTTCATATCTCATTGTCCAAAAAAAAATTATATTATCGTTTAATGATGCTTTTGTATTTAAAAATAAATAAATTACAAAGTCAATATATACAAAAGATGTTATTTGCACAATAATCATGAAAAAAATTTAAGATTTTCAAAAAACCGAAAATCGATCCAATCCAAACCGAAAAAATTGGATTGGATCGGATCGGATTTGAAAAAAATTCCAAACCGAATGAATGATTACATTATCAAACCGAAGGGATTGGATCATATGATTTTTGCTTCCAAAATCGATCCAATCCAAACCGCGAACACCCCTACCAGATATAGCTTATGCCGTAAATGTTGTGAGTCGCTTCATGCATGCTCCTAGTGTGGACCATATGAAAGCTATATATCGAATTCTTAGGTACCTAAAGGGTGCCCCAGGCCGAGGTTTGTTGTTCTCAAAAAATAACACTTCACGCATTGAGGGATATACAGATTCTGATTGGGCTGGCGATCAAACCACCAGGAAATCCACTTCTGGTTATTTCACCTTTGTGGAAGGCAACTTGGTGACTTGGAAAAGTAAAAAACAAAAAGTTGTAGCAAGGTCAAGTGCAGAAGCTGAATTTCGAGGTATGACTCATTGTGTGTGTGAATTATTGTGGATCAAAAGTGTCCTAAAAGATTTAGGAGTTTGTTATGACCATCCTATGAACCTGCACTGTGATAACAAAGCTGCCATTGAATTTGCACACAACTCAGTTCAGCATGATCAGACTAAACATGTGGAAGTAGACAGACATTTCATCAAGGAGAAATTAGATCAAAAAATTATACACTTTCCTTTTGTAAAATCTGAAGATCAACTTGCTGATATATTGACTAAAGCTGTGTCAGGGAAGGTGTTTCAAGCTGCTATTGGCAAGTTGGGCATGATAGATATTTATGCTCCAACTTGAGGGGGAGTGTTGAGCTGTATACAATCAATAATTAATTTGATTTTGATTGTGTTAGCAATTATACGAATTAATCGTAAATAGAATTGATTGATAGGAGACATCAATTCTTCGAGTAATTAATTTGATTTTGATTGTATTAGCAATTATAGGAATTAATTGTAAATATAATTGATTGATAGGAGATATCAATTCTATGATTTTAATTTTATTCTTTTAGAGTGATTTGTGGCTCGATTGAAGCCCAAAATTAGTATATATAATTATCTCTGTACAAAGAAAGAAAATACATAAATTCCATTGTCTTGTTTGACCGTTGTTTCTATGAAACCCATCAAGTTTAGCCAAAAATAGAATAGTATTTTCTTGAAGTTCCCACATTCTTTTCTCTCTGCCTCGCTTTAATTAATGCAAGAATTTTCCTATATGAAATTCTACATGTGCTGATTCAAATTACGTTCACAAATACATCAGTATATTGAGGATTAGCTTCTCCCTGAAAATGGAACACAACAAATGAATTTTTTATCCCATTAAGGAAACCATATCTTATTAAAAAGTTACTATAGGTCATTTGGTTTTAACTCAAATTTTAAGGTCAGTGGATAGAGTAACATCTTAGGTCTAAATTTATTTCAATCACTATTCCGTTCAAGAAAAAAGTTAGATATTTTACGTACATGTTATATTTCTTAAGATTGTTTTGGACCGTAAAAACCATGAAAGTGAGTATATTACATAGTTTTGATCTACAAATCCATGAAAACGAACAATTTTTCTGCTTCGCATAAAGCCTCACATTTTAATATAATATTTGATACAAACAATGCTACAACATGTACAAAGAAAGCTAAGAATCCACGGTAATGCCCCCTTCCTTTTGAATTAAAATTTTCCCACTAAGAGAAAAGGGTCAAATTATATGATATCAGAAAAATAGGAAAATTCTGTTCTGCTTGTTGCTTGTTGGGTCCTACAATAATTTGTGGATACAAAGGAGATATTAAAATCGCCCCAAGGAAGCAAAGGAAACCGAAACTTTAATTAGGTATTAATCTAAATAATAATCGTTCAGGAAGATAATGTTATCAAATATGGCGTAGGTTGGTAGAAAATTCGATGAAGTGCGAACTACTTGGGTGAACGGTTGGTGGAAAATCCACACAACAAATTGAGAACCTCATATCTGAGAAGCAGAGGGGAATCTTAGTTCAAGCTCTTGAAATTCTATACAGAACAAGAATTCATAATTGAAAATGTATGAATTTAATAACTATCTTGAGGTGCTCTAAACAAAACAAGGGAGAAGAAGAAAAATGACAAAATGTACTTATTGGTATTATTTTTAAGGTGTATGGTCATAATATTTTCATTATCGAACTAAATATGAAATATAAGGTTCTTATATAAATAAATTTCTCACTCAGTGTTAGAGTAAATGATGCTCAAACTCAAACAGAGGCTATTGGTGCAAGTTGACTATGTAAGTAAAACCATCAAACGAGCCAATGATCCGGAAAGATTTCATGTTGAATAGCAAATAAATGTAAAGACATCACAACTAGCTACAATTCATACAATCACTGAATTGTTAAATGCTAAACACTTTCCAAACTAGCAACCCCAATACTATAGCAACATAAAGTAGTATTATATATTCATACAAAAGTAAAGCACAGACCCTTTTATTCACAAACAGGGACCTGCAGGGTGGCTCTCTATTAATCTTATTCAATTTTAGAGGAAAGGAACTATGTAAGTTAGATGAAAGTCTAAGAGGAGGAGGGTTTCATTTCTGATTTGATGGCCGCGACCAGCTGATCATAAGCTTCTCCCCATGCATTCTTCATTTCCGGTGACCACATTTCAGGAACAGCTTCTTTTATGGTCTCCAAAAGTGCGAACTTTGTTACCTTAACAAAACAAAAGAATAAACTATACATTAGTCTTAATTTGTACTCTCTCTATATACTCCAGAAACAAAATTACTCACTAAACACTATGCAAGATTAATATAGGGTGCTGAGATATATACATATTTTTTCTCCATCTCATATTTTAATGTAAAAGTTGAGGTAACAAATATGAGCAAACATCATTTTCAACTATATTCATATTGAAAGTGTATACATTATATACCTCAAAATGTTCGTCTGCTACACCGCTTTTAAAATGAGAGGCACCTAACTTTTTCAAGTTTGATTCTCTCACGGTGACTTTACCAGCCTTCCGTAGTTGAACTGCTGATTCGCATGTCTGCAATCACAAGAACAAAATAAAATTGATACAAAGAGACAGAGTTTAACTGGAAAATTTGACCGGTTTTGTGGTGAATGGTGACAGAGTTAAAGCCTTATTAATGGTAATGGGAAGTGAAACGAAGTAAGCTTACCATCACAAAGACAGACATGGCATGGGGCTTGAGCTTGGGGTTTTGCTCCAAAGGAACTTTTGAATCTTTCAAGAATGAGAACAATTTCTGAGCTGATGGAGCAATCTCAAATACTCTACAAAATTTTGAAGTCATGGTCAGTTGAAAAACATAATAATAATAATGTTGTGTTGTCAGCTGATTAAAGAGTTTAATATAAGTTGATCAAGAAATGCCTTACTTCAAGAAAAACTTGAGACCCAGCTCTCCAGAATTCTTCTTCATCGCGCTCCATGACTTCACCACCAGAGCTTCTTGCTCTTCTGTGAAACCTCTGCCCTCCACGGTGTTCATGTTCTCTCTCTAGTATGTTAACTGATAAGGTATTTGTTTGTGAGTTGTGAATTGTGATGGCACTGCCAATGGATGAGGAAGTTTTTATAGTTGGATTCATTGAACATGATGTTGGCCCTTCGTCCCAATGGGGAGTCATTCTTATTTGTTTGGCTGCCACGCTACTCACTTCGTTGGTTCAGGGTTTTATTTTTTTATTCTCGTATAACAATATAAATCATTAAAAAAGTTCAGGGTTGAAGTGGTTCTTTACATGGTATCAGAGATTGCCGTCCTCCACTTTCTCTTGTGGAATTTCTTAGCATAGGTAGGTTGAGGCTTGTTGCATCATCCACTCTTCAAGCCCAATGGGCTCTAGTGTGAGGAAGCATGTTGAGATATATAGTATCACATTAGTTGTATGTGCAACTAATGTGGAGTTTATAAGGCTTGGGCACTCCCACCTTTAAGCTAGCTTTTGGGGTGATGTATCTCAAGGTTTTTTACATGGTATCAAAGCTTCAGTGAAGGTCACGAGTTCGATACTCACCGCCCCCACTTTCAAGTGGAATTAAATAAAAAGCACAAAAGGTAAACCAAAAATTGGACTTGTGCAATATTCACGCTTCAAGCCCACAGGCCTGAGAGGATGTGTTAGAGAATAATATAAATCATTAAAAAAATCATTACCCAACACCTTAAGTTTTGAGTTAAAGTTGTTCTTTGTAATTTCTATTCTATTTCATTGATTACTTTACTAATTTATTCGAATCGAGCATGATAATAAGTTATTAAATTTTGTAACACAGCTATATATACCAATACAAAACCAATAATTAAACTGAAATAACATCTATCAATTGATTCTATGTGTTTGGCACTGAAATCTATTTTAAGATATTGAAACCTTAATTTTATTTATTTTTTTTTTTGGGTAAATGAAACCTTAATTTTATTTCGTTATCTTTTTCCATTTCCAAACACGCGTAGAATATACTAGGGTTAGAGAAAAAAAAATCATTAGGTTTGGTATAATGGTGAGAGGTTTGGGTAGGTTGTATTAAGTTGTGTGTTTAATTTTTTACCTGTTAAAAATTTGTATAAACCAAAAATTGTATAAACCATTGATGGGCTTATACTTAATAGTTTAAACTTTTGAGTTAAATTTCAGAGCTTTGATGTCTCGGGTTCGATTCTCGTCGCCTCCCATTTTCTTTGTGAGTTTTTTTAGCACAGGTAGACTGAGTTTGATGCATTATTCACATTTCAAGTCTAATGAATTCTCTTGTGAGAGAGCGAGTTAGAGAAGTATATAAACTATTAATGGGTCTTCACTTAACGTCATAAACTTTTGAGTTAAATTGATTTTTTATGTTAACCCAGTGTATAAAAAAAAAAAAAATACATGCCATACCAGGTGCCCAAAAACTAGGGGCTGCTTGCGGCAAGAAGAAAATGGTTGTGGATTACCTCTCCTTCCGTAAGCAATGATTTAATCAAATGGCTTTGTAGCAGCCTAGTAAAATTGATTAATTATCTATTTTCTATTTTCATTTTTAGTAAAAACTAAAAACAAAGTTAAAGCACATGTCTGGTTAAATTTCTTAAATAGAGGTCATAGATTATCGTATACATAAATTTTCTTAAATATCAAACCAAATACCAACACTTGATAAAAAATTATTTCAACTTAAAATTTTAAAATATTGAGTGAGATTATATTAATAATTTTATATATTTTTAATATATCTTCTTATATAAGAGTCTTTTGAACTTAAAGCATAAATATTATACGTACTTAATTTTTTTATCTATCCTATATTTATTTAATTGCATCATAAAATAGTTAAAGATAATAATCGAAATCGCGATCTCTTAATCACCGTAAGATTCCAGTAGTTGTTGTTTGTTTTGTCTGATGAGTTTGTTCCGTAGAAGATAAGATAGCGTAACTGTAGATAAATTTGTATTCAAATTTATAACAGGTTACTTTTGAAATGTCTATAAAGGCAACTGAATTCAGTCAAAGAAAGCTGATTCGAATGCCACTTTATTAGAACTCAAAGCTGGTACCATGACTTGACAGATTACTATTTTCCATCTTTTGTTGATATTTGCTTCATTAAAACTTATTTTTGCAACGTCTCGGCTTCATTCAAATTAGGGCTTTATTAATCTCATGCAATAGGAGAGAAGCTTTCTCATGCTATAGAGACAATCATGTATGAGACCCACCCACTTATAGAAAAAGAAAATAACAAAATAACACGAAAATCGATGTATGTGTAGGAGAGAAAAATACTCTCCTACAATATAAGAGTATATTTTCCTTCAAATTAATTTCCATCATATCTACCATCAAAGTGATTGAATCCAATACAGTATTTATGCAAAATTGACTAGTAAATGCTAAAAAACAAAATGAAATTATGCACCCAAAATTTTTTGAAAAGGATTGCAAAAATAAAATAAAATACAAAGATATAAGTAAAAAACAATATATTAGTTCTAAGACATCAATATAAAAAGGAACGTGACATACAACCAGATAAACATAATAATTACATTAATAATTTATCGTAACAATGAAAGGGTTTTTTTTTTTTTTTGGTATCCTAAAGGGTTGTTCTTTTTATAATTGATAATTTGATACAGATTTAATATATATTTTTGTTATATTTAGTAGGGAAAATTTGGAGACATCTCGGTTTTAAAAATATTATTTTATAGGAACCTAAATTCGTATTTATATCTAAAGAAAGTATATTTCAAATGATTAAGCATTGATTACTAAACCAGTTAAATCCGTGTTTAATGTGGCAAAGCTTAGTCCCAATCAGAATTAAATCTCTTTGGAATATTCAGATGCTTAATGAGATAAATATTCATTGTTTATCCTCCAAACCCACTTCATAGGAAAGTTAATAAATACTAAGGGAGCGTTTGGTACAGTAGAAATTTTTATTTGTCCAGGAATCTCAAATTTTAAAAATATGATTTTTACATTCAGTTTATGATAATATGCGAAAATTTAAAATTTAGAAAAATTCAGTTTCCCGAGAATCCTACGAAATGTCGCGTACCAAACGGCCCCTAATAGCACCCTTTACATTGAGTGGGGGTGTGTTAGTGGAAAGCATGCAAGAATCCACTCTTTTTTTTTCAATATAAAATAGGGAAAAAAGTTTATCTTTTTAAATGATATAATTTTGTGTATGTCATTTTAAATTTTAATTGTTAATTTTCGTCAATCAACGATTATAATTTATTAGGTCAAATTTATTAATTAATTAATAATTTGCAATAAAATTTATTAATTAATTAATAAATTCTAACCGTTAATTGACAGAAATCAACGGTTAAAATCTAAAATGACACAAAATTATATATTTAAAAGTACAAATATTTTTTCCATATAAAAAATATTAAAAGTTATTAACACAAATAAATGCCCCAAAAGTTGATTAAAACAAAATGTCAGTTTATACAAATCAGAGCTGTGCTATTGCAAACCGCAGCAAATAATTTCTAACAATGCCACTTAAAATTAGGAAATGATCGCAGACAAAACAAAAATTAGGTTTGGCCTGCCATGCAGAAAATGATCTATACCTCAAATAAATGAATTCATCATGCCTATAATGTGCCGTCTCATATGCAAAGCATCTGCATCTGCATCAGCAGACAGAGCATGTCCTGCATACTATATAGTATGAATAATAGCAAAATTCGGAGTTAATTATTGAAAGCAATTAGACATGGCTATTTTTTATTATTATGTTTTACAATTAAAAAGTAAAAACACTAACAAATAATATGATTGATGAAAGCACAAATATTGCACTAAAGTACTCAGTAAAGGGAGCTCCTAATTACTTAAGGTCATTATTTCTATTCTGCCATGAATACAAAATAACAAATAGACATAAATAAAGTTCATTTGTCTTTGTTGCCGTTCCTGTCATTATTCACTTTAGCCATGTTTATTTTGATCAAATCGTTAAGTATATAATTTGCATTTTTATTTATTTTTTTTGCATTCCTTTTTAGCTTTGGCAACAGGGGCGGACCCAGTAGGGGGGCTAGGGTGGGCTCCTGCCCCCTCTAAAATTCAAGAAATTTTTTTTTTATAATATATATAGAAAAATATGATGGTGAAATTACCGTGTTGTACACGTTTTTTTCTTCAGTTCCCCATGTTTCTGCCCACACTCTTACCTATATTTTTTCTTGAGAACATCATATCATCTTCTCTCCTTTCCGTGTTTTGTCCATTACCAACCTCCTTCTTTAACCTCTCAATTTTGGTTGTGTAAAATCGATTTTGGCTGTGTATTAAAATAAAATAAAATATTCTAGAGCTAGGTAAAATCAACTTCCACCTTCTTAAGATCATTGTATGTATGTATAGTCATAGACTATCTTTGATTATATACATTAAAAAAGAAATTATTTTGAATTTTAGCATGGATTCAATTATATATGAGTTTAATAATATAAAAATACGTAGAGCAAAAGTAAGTGAAGTGATATTAATTTATGTAATAAGTTTTTTTCAATTTTTTGTATATTAAATTTGCAGTGTATTTCAAGTACTTTTATTTATGATATAATATTTTTTATTTTTGCCCCTCCTTATTAAAATTCTTAGATCCACCACTGTTTGCCACAAAAGGTAGAAATAGCACCTATTCACTTGTTGTCTTTTAATTTGTGGGTTTACTAAGAGATACACCAAAACAAAGAGCCAATCTCAAACTAATGGATTGAAGCATTCAACCATAAAAGCAGGGCATGCCCTGTTCCAAAACCCGAACGGCTTCCGAAAAGCAGAGAAAACATTTTAACTATTTTCAAGTACGAGCAGTGAAATCTCACCTTGGTTAAAAATGTATCAAGTAAAAAATATCGAAATAAAAGGAATCATTAACTCAAAAAATACATCAAGTAAAAAGTATCTAAGTAAAAGGAATTATTAACTTAATGTTATAAGATTTTAGGCCGAGACGTGATATTCATATATTTCATATTAGAATTAAACAAATCTCATACACACTGTATTATTATTATTATTTTCATATTAAAGCCCTTTATCAAAATTAGAGTGATGGGAAAATAATGAAAAGAAAAATAATGAATAATATGTAAGAATCTTACTAGAAATGCGGAAGCGCATCGAACCGACACGACGAGGGAAAAGATTAACCTTCATCGTTTTGATTACCTGGAAGGGCGTAGTTATGTGACCACGAACAATAGTTGTTCCCTCTATGATCGATCTTCCAGACTATCTTTCGAGGAGGATGAGATGGTTGTGTGGACAACCATTCAGATGATGAACGTCTGCCTCTTGAGTTTGTTTCTGATGATCTGTTCACCTTGGAGGCATAAGAGGAGAAAACTATGAATATATATGCTTAGGTCTTAAATATAACTCAACCCTAAGCCTCATGGGCTCAAGTGTCACTGAAACCCAATAGAACTTTAGTGACCAAAAGAGCATATATCCAACATAATATCCATAACATATTCTTTCACTTATCCTCTCTGCCGCTTAAATATGAAATTGCAAAGTTCTGGAAAAATTGGTAGTAAATTCATTAGGAGTGTCAAAATGGGTTGACACGACACGAATACATCAACACTAACACGACACGAATTTTTATTCGTGTCAAAATCTTCAACACTGACTCGACACGAATTTTTTGTGGGTTGACATGACATGACACGAATAACACGCAAAATAAGAATCAAAACGGTAATTGACAAAGTCTGTAAGTATAACATTTTTCTTCAAACTAAATATAAAAATACAGTTTTAATGTAAATATTGCAAATTAGCTTGATATTAAGTAATTTCTCAGTGCTATTTGAAATGATGCTCCCCTGGATTACTCTTTTCCAACCGTTTGTGATTATAAGCGCATATTGTGAAAAGAAAAGAAAAGTTATACAAAAAAGAAAAAAAGAAAAGGCTATTGGTGCAAGTTGACTTTGGGAATCCATCAAATCAGTCAATGATCTGGGAACACTTCACGTTGAAAAGCAAATAAACGTAAAGACACAACTAGTAGAAAATTTAAAATAGATCCACGATTATTGAATAATTAGACGCTCCTCTCACAAAATTAATTTTTTTTTTATAAATCTTATCCAAGTCTTTTTTTTCTTTTTCCTTCTTGCCCTCCCATTTGTGAGGAGGGACCACAAAAAAAATTGGTGGTTTAGGTGAACCAAAAATGATCTCCACAACTAGCTACAATTCATAAAATCACCTTTAATTTCTGAATTATTAAATGCTAAAACACTTTCCAAGGTAGCAATCCCAATAGCATCATAAAGTATATTATATTCATACAAATGATCTATTAATCTCATGTTGCATGAGATAATTATCTCATGCAACAGAGATAAAATTATAGAGTCCACTACTTTTTAAAAAAAAAAAATAATAGTAAACTTCACTATTTTATCTCTGTTGCATGAAATAATCTCATGCAACATTAGATAATTATTTCCCTTCATACAATAGAAAAACACACAGATCCAAACACTTTCACAAACAGAGGACATAGGTGGCACACTATCAACCTTATTCAATTTAAGAGGAAAGGAACTTCTCAAGTTGGAAGAGTGTCTAAGAGGAGTGTTTCATTTTCATACGGAGAATGTTATATTTACAAATTTTTTTTTTGCAAACTCTTACAAACTACACTAAGTATGATCGGTCATACTTCAATCAAGAGTGTATGACCGGTAATACTTACTATAATTTGTAAAACAAATTTGTAAACGGATCATTCCCCATATATATATATATATATATATATATATATATATATATATATATATATAGGTAGGATCAATTGACACCGGTGTCAAATTTGAAGTTTGACACCTCATCTGAGAGCCGTTAGATCAAAAAAGATCAATGGTGTCACATGCTTGCAAATCAGAGTCGTTGATATTTTTTGATCTAACGGCGCGCAATTGAGGTGTCAAATTTCAAATTTGACACTGGTGTCAAAGGATCCTACCCCATATATATATATATATATATATATATATGAAAATAAAGTAACTGGACAGTCCAGTGCACTAAGTTCTCCAGCGAGAACATAGTGCACAAAATATTATAATAGTGTTCTCTCGAGAGAACATAGTTATAATATTTACTATAACTGTGTTCTCGCGGGAGAACTTAATGCACTAGACCAAATTTTATATCCAGTCACTGTATACTTACTAAATCTTATATATATATATATATATGTATATATATATATACCTCAAAATGCTCAGGTGCTACACTGCTTTTAAAATGGGTGGCATGGCACCCAATTTTTTTCAGTTTGATTCTCTCACGGTGACTTTACCAGCCTTACGCAGTTGAACTGCTGATTCACATGTCTGCAATAACAAAAACAAAATACATTGATACCAATAGACTCAATGGTAATGGAGGTCAAACAAAATAATAAGGTTACCATCATAAAGACAGCCATGGCATGGGGCTTGAGCTTGGGGTTTTTCTCCAAAGGAACTTTTGAATCTTTCAAAAATGAGAACAACTCCTTAGCTGCTGGAGCAATCTCAAGTATTCTATAAAATGTTTGAAGTCAATCTCAGTTCATAATAAAAAAACATTATGTTGTGTTAAAATATATGAAAGAGCTTATTTGAAAGGTTGAATAAATGCTTTACTTCATGAAAAACTTGAGACTCAGCTCTGCAGAATTCTTCTTCATTGATTGCTTCCCATGACTTCACAACCAAAGCTTCTTGCTGTTCTGTGAAACCTTTGCCTTCCATGGTGCTCATGTTCTCTAGTATGTTAACTGCTAAGGTACTATGTGTCTGTGAATTTTGATGATGGCAGTGCCAATGGTAGTATGTAAGTTTTTATAGTTGGATTCATTGAGCATGAAGTTGGCCTTTCATCGAAATGGGGAGCCATTCCCCTTTGTTGCTGTCGTGCTGCTCAAGGTTCATTAATGGTGTTTTTTTTTATTTGAATTTTTAAAAATGAGTTAGAATGGAATGAAACTATTGAAATCTGATTTTCTTCTTCATAATTTAAGGATAGAAGATTGAACCAACTTTCTTTACTAATCTCTTTTCACATTCCATTCATTTCTCAAATAATTGAATGAGAATATTACTTTTGAAGACCTCCTATGCACCATGGAATATAGAATATATATTTTGACGATGACAAAGGATTTACAAAAAATTTCAAATTGAATATGGAGTTTGAAGATACAAGTGGTTAGGTATTTTTAGAATTTTTGTTACACACTATATTATATTATATAGTATCTTCCTAAGCTCCATTGCATATCGTTGCATTACATGCATTTAGTTGGAAGCATTTTATAATTAAAAAATAAAAAAATAAAAAATAATCTGAACCAAAAATAAAATATAGGCTTCTGTATTCCGTGGATTAATTGTTTCAAAATAATCAACCTTGTTACTTAGCCTCACAAATTATCACGCGGTTTAATTTTTAAAAAGAAATACAATAAAAAAATAGTTATTGAATTGTAAAGAAATATGCATATAGCTTTAACATGTTACGTGGGTTTTAGCTTTTGGAAAACAAAATAATAATAAAAATTAAACTTTCACATTTCAAACGAAAAGTTACGTAGGTCAGTTTCTAAAACTATATAATAATATAGGGAATAAGAAGAATAATGTTGTAGGAAAATTTTATGGTTATGTTATAGAGATAGGAAATGTGGGGCCCACATGTGTTTTCAAAAATAAAAAATCAAAACAAGTGTGGGTCCCACAATCTTTATCTCTATAACATAACCTAACAACTTTCCTACAACATTATACTTCTATTTCCCAATAATATAAAAGAGATCACTTTACTAATCCTTCAATATACATGCTGAAATCACAATAGGGCTTCTTCTCTTGCTTCTGATAATGAACCCTAATAATAATAAAAACCCCAAATTCCTTCAATCGAACCCTAAACCGGAAACTCCATCCCCTAAACAGCAATACGCCCTAAAATGTCTGCACTTTGATGATTGAAACTCGACGACAGTAAAACCCATCAACCGGATTTTTGGGCGTGGAAGAAGATGAGTGTTTCTTCTGGCATGGGGGGATCAAGTGAGAGTAAATCAATGGGGAGAAGAACAATGACAAGGACCGCCGGTTGGAAGTGCAAATGTGGGAGACAAAGTATTGTCTATACCTCCAAAACTGAGAGGAACCCAAATAGGGCTTTCCTTGGCTGTCCTAATTTCAAGGCATGGATTTGTAATCTGCCCCTTTATTGAGTTGGAACACTTGCTAACCGTGGTTTTTCTTTTGCAGGAGAGGAAGCCCTATTGTGATTTTTTTAGATGGGTAGATGACATGTGTAATGAACCCATGGAGCTAGAAGAAGCAAGAATTCATACTGTGGAGTTGGATGTTGCTGAAATTAACTTCAAGTTGAAATATGTGGAGATGATGATGAGAGAGCAAGATGTGAAGATTACAGAGCAAGGAATGAAGAGCTTCATCAGCAGGAAAGAAAACTGAATGATGTATACCTGAAGATGGTGGAGGAGTTAGATAGGATGGACAAAAAAATTAGGATAGTTGATAGGTCAGCTAGGGTCTTAGGTGCTTGTGTTGGTGTGATCATGATCTGTATGTTTGTTGTTAGTGTGGTAAAAGTGAAAACAAGTGACCCAAATATATTTTTCCTTCAGTGAATTGTAATGAGTACTCCTTCTTTATGTTATACAAATTATGTGTTAGTGCCAATCTGTTTGTGTGTATTATTAAAAAAGCACTGAAGGATAAAAGATTGCTACATTGTATCACAAACAGATATAGATTGCTACTGATATAGATGCATAACTCATGACATTGCTGATGCAGAAGTTGCATATTGTTATGCATATTTTGTTACTGATTGCAAAACACGAGGACCATTTAGGTCCCTGGCAATGTTACTCGAGGGTCGTTTTGGTCCCTGACAAAGTGCACGGGGCACTTATTGGTCCTTGATTCCAGAATTATAGGACATGAGTTCTTGATGTCCAAATCAACAAAATGCAGCACTCATTTTAACATCAGAAACATATGTTGTCCCTGACTTATATGCTTTGCCATAAGAAATGCACTTAACATCAGAAATGCATTATGTAGGGGTTCAAATTGGTCCCTCACAATGAGTGTCGGGGTCCTAATTGGTCCCTGCAACCATAAAATTGGGCATGATCTGTTTTGCCAGTAACACAGCACAAACCTGCACCAGAATGCAAATATGGCAGCTAAATGACCAACAACAAGTTAACTCTCTTAGAAAACATAAGAACCAGAAAATGCACTTATAACATGCATCAACCCTGCCACATAATAGCTGCAACATTCATCAACATGTGAACCAAAATAAATTGCACTTAACATCCAAAAGTAAAGCCATATGGAATGACCAGTAACCAGAAAATATGGCCTTGCACAAACCTGCACAAACCAGTAACCAGAAAATATGGCAGCTACATGACCATGCCTCAGCTAATTGACCAACTCAGTTAAAAACATAAAATGGACATGAAATTATCACATTCATCAACCCTGCCACATAAAATGCATATCCAGAATATAACCAGTTACACATAATTGTCTTCCTAGAACTAGAAACCAGTAGTACATTACAAATAAAAGGCAACTAATAGGAATCATAAGTGAGGCCTATAAATACAATATGGCCATGCATAAAAAAATTTACATTATAACTGTATAAGGCCTCTAAAAACAAATGGCCAGAATTTACAAAAAAATCCCATTATATCCACTCCTTGTCAGTTGGCTCATGCACTATTCCCTTGTTCTTCTTCATCAGCAGCTCATTTTGTTAAGGATGGCCTTGGTGGCCTGAAACCAGGTGTTGTCATGAAGTACAAAAATCTGCTTCGTGTGCCATTGCTTGCTGCCTTCATTGTCTCTTCAGTCAACACTGCATTTTCTTCTTCTGGAATTGAAGGAGGTGGGCTGCCTCGTCTCAAGTTGCCTTGTTGTGGCTGAGAACTACCAACTGCTGAAGGGCCTCCTTGACTTAATGGGATTTCATCTATTGAGTCAGAGCCAATCCTCACAGATTGTGGTCTTGCTTGGCTTTTATCTTTTTTGGAAGCTGGTGGCCCCTTACAACTATTGGCGTAGTGTCCAGTCTGACCACATTTAGTACACTTGGCTGTATATGTCCTTTTTACTTTCTTTGTCATGCTCCCTTGGTCTTCAGTTGGGTCCTTCTTCCTGTGTTTCTTGGGATGCCCAATTGGCCTTTTAAGTTTTGGTGGAAGAGGTTTGGGTTCATCAAATGCAGGCCAATACTTGTCCGAATTCACTGGGTTTAAGGTGTGCGCATATGTGGCATGCAATGCATCCACTGTAAGCCATTGATGGACATAGTTCTCGGCTGGTTCGTTTTTGTGACAAATGGCTGCTATAGCATGCTCACAAGGCAGTCCAGTCAACTGTCATGCATTGCATGCACATGTATGTGTTGTTAAATTCACTCCAACTCTATCACCTCTCCCACTGACCTCATACATATATTGCTGCAGATTTCCAGTCCAAGTTGGTGTCCATGAATTGCTAAGTACCTTTAACTGATCCAGTTTCTTTTGCTGAGCAGGAGCAATTTTACCCCGAACAGTTCCTAACACCCTCTGATGTGCAGCTATCCTCCTCATAATGTAGCATCTCAATTCCTCTAATAGAGTGATAATTGGTTTTTACCTATATCCAACAATCTTGGCATTCCATACCTCTGACATGTTGTTTGTGATATTATCACATTTCGGCCAGTGGCTGAAATAAGCTTTCACCCAACTTGAGGGCTAAATGTTATCCAAGTACTTCCATGCAGCCTCATTCTTCCCTTTCAACCGTGCCATTGACTGCTGGAACTGTGGGACAGTGGTGCATCTTGAACACTCCCAGACCATGGCTCGAATTGCCTTGTCTTTCCACTGCTTTATGAAGTTCTTCCAAACATGCTGCACACAAAAATGATGATATGCACCAGGCATCACCTCTTGCAGTGCTAGAATCATCCCCTACACACAGACACAAAAAAACAAAAAAACCAATAAGCAATACAGTGAAATCAGATTCAGTGAAGGAAAAACAGAGTAAACAAATAAAATAAGCAAAATAAACCTTCTGTTGGTCAGAAATAAAATTCCACCCAAACACTACGTGAGGGCCAATGTCTTTCTGTAAAAGGGTTAAAAACCACTTCCAGTTCTCTTTTGCTTCACTATCAACAACTGCATATGCGATGACATAGAAGCTTTTGTTGGCATCTTCCCCAACTGCACTTAACAATTGACCTCCATAATATCCTTTCAAGAAACATCCATCCAACCCAATTAAGGGCCTGTAGCCAGCTTTGAACCCTCTCTTGCATGCATCCAGACAAATGTACAACTTAGAAAATATGAGTGAGGAGTGCGGATCAGGTTGTGGGATCACTTGCATTTGACATGTAGACCCTGAATTGCTTCTCAATAGCTCACCTAAGTAGTCTCTCAATTTTGCATATTGTTCTTTTTCACCCCCTTCTGTTTTGGCCTCAGCTTTATGAAGTGCCTTTGTCACTTTCTTCAAATGGACATGAACTTTGTACTCCTCTTTCATGTGGTCGTAGGCCTCAGCCCTTGTCATGTTCGGTTGTGTCATTAGCCTTTTTTTCTAATTTCTTTGCAACCCAATCCCTACTTGCCCTCTTGTTTCTAAAAAGTCTGCAGCAAGTGTGGATGTCATTAAAAGTTTTGACTTGGAAAGCTGCCATCTTGTTGTTCCACGCACAGTAAATCATCCAATCACATTCATCATTACTACACTTTGCTCGGGCTCTGACTTTGTCATTCTTCAGCCACTTGAATTGTCTTCCTAGATCAATACTGTAGTCTTTGACAGGATTTTTAAATTGTTGAAGACTCACAAACTCCATCCCCAGCTCTAAGTGTACATGACCAAACTCCTCATGCACATTAAACTTTGGATTGACAACCTTTTCATCCTCCTCAGCACCACTTGAAGGAGGCGTGTTCAACTCTTTAGAGTTATACCCATACCCACCCTCCTCGAAAGACATTGACTTCTCCTCCTTTTCCATTGTATCTTCCCCTGCCACATCTTCAGCCTCTTTTTTTTCTTCTTGTTTTACTTTTTTTGTCCAGCAGTTTTACCCTTCCCCTTACACTCCTCTTCACTCTCTGTTTCTGTATCATACATAGGTGGAGGAGGTTTATATGGCCCATCCTCCACATTATCATCTGAGTCAGTAGAAAACCCATCACCATCTCCACTATCATCCTTATCACCATCTCCACTATCATTCTCAATACCACCTCCACTATCATCCTCATCATTGCCTTCCACGGGTGCAGGTGCAATAATATCAGGGATGGAAATGCAATGATCAAAATATATTTCTATGATATTCCCATTATTTAATGCAGCCTTTACCATCTCCACAATATCAGAGTCCGTACTCAGAGGCCTTAAACCACTGTCTAAATCCATTGCGTTTGGCATGAGCCGCAACATCTGATCACATTTCTCATACCCATAACCCTTGAACAAAGTATCAAGGTCACGCAGGTTGACAAAGTCAGCATCCATCTCAGGTAAGTCATCCACTTTGCCATTTGCATAAGTTAGGACCCCTTTATCATCTCTGATTAACACACCCCCATGATGATACCTTATCACTATATATTCATCCATCTGGAAAAAAAAACATACACCATGACAGTTACTTCACAACTTCCACAAACCAATCATATTTTAACAACAATTCTAGCCATTTGCATATATAAATCAACACGGGAATGTTAACACACAGGCTGTAAATTGCAACAAAAAAATTCACATTTACAATAAATTAATGCTAACATCAGGTCCACAAAGCAATTTAAAAATGCCAATAACCCTATACATCAGACTCAACACTGCCGTGTAACCATACAAGCCAGTAACTTGCAAAAAAATTTCACCTTTACAAATTATGCATGCACTAAAAAATTGGGGACCACAAAGCACTAAAAAATGGCAATAAACTATACAAACCGGGACCACATACATAAATGGGGCTTTTTTTTGTAAACCCTAACATAATAACACACAATGGAGCGCACATAAGGGACCATCATCCAACAAAGAATAGACAACATGTAGTGAGGGGGGACCACAAATATTGAAGAATTTCTAAAAAAACACTTACCTTAATGCATGTAAGAAAACTGCCACACTCGCACTTCCCTTAACCACTAAAGAACAAGACTTTCGACAACCTTCAATGTCCACGCTCGATTATCTTACCTGCAACCACCGTCTTCGACAACCCTCACCGTTCAACGAAGCTTCCAGTGGAGGTCAACAATGGTGTTCCAATTATATGCAAAAACTTAGTGAAATAAGAACGACTCTCCACGATAACTTCCAGTGTTGGTGCCTCTTGTTTTCTCAAACATAAAACAACGTCGTGAAGAAAATTGGAAAGCTATGTACCCATTTGCTTGCAAACGTCGTCGTTTGTAGTTCCAACGTGTCAACCGTCCAGTCCCCGTCAGCAGACTAACGTGCCACATGGGCATCGTTAGTTTGACCGTGACGGAGGAGTTGACAGAAGGACTAACGTGGCCCTTTTTTCATAATTTTAGGGACCAATTTAGTCCTTTTTTATTGTTAGGGACTAAAAAGGATTTCGTAGATATTGTCAGGGACCAAAAATGGTGTTTACTCAAAAGAAAAAGAAAGCATCACTTTTCCAATTTTCTTGGTGTTTGTCTTTATCCGTCTTCGTCCGAAATTTTTTGACTCTGTTACTGCACACACGAAGAAAGGCATATAATCATGTTCTCAAAATTTCTTCTATTGTCACTGTGAAGAAAGATTTCAAGGAGTAAAGCGCTTAATATTTTGTGAAATATCGAGAGTGTGTAAGGCAAAGATCTTGAAAGCCCAAGAGCAAGGGTTGCAATCTTGTGGTTGATTTGGGGCTTCATTGTGGTATTTTATGACCAACTCAAATCTTTTATGAATCTTTGACTTGAAGCATTTAATCTGAAATTTCCAGATTTATTATTCATATGCTTTAAAGATTTTGAGTGGTATAATCTGAATATTAAATCTCTTGAGTTGTTCATTGATTTAGGGATTTATTATTAAAATTCTGAATCTGATTTTTCTATTCACATTGTGATATTTTTTGTTTAAATCATATTTCTTGATACCCATTGTTTAGAAAATTAATTGTGTAATATCCAAGCTCCTTGGTGCATTAATTTTAGAGATTTTGATACATATGTCATTGGTTTAATTTTCTGCATATGGCATAAATTTGTGGAGCTTAGTTTGATATTACCGTGATATATTTGGTGTGATAGGACACTGTATTTTTGGGTTATTTCACTTTTTACAGTTCTGAAAAAATTATGTATTGGTTGTTAAAGTGGAGTAGTTGTGTGTTGTAAATCTGTCCTAGGTGTGTGGGTGCAACCATGTGGGTTGGCAACCTTGTGCTTGGCTTGAGAGTGTGTCTCAAGGCCTGGAGCCTCAAGAATCCACTAGGGAGAGTGGAGGTCTCGTGTGAGAGGAGTTGGTGAACTCCGTAGGTTCGGCTTGAGAATATCCTCAGAGCTTGGAGCAGTGTGGGCACTAGGAAGATTTTTGATATCTTGTTTAATTGCATGTGTGACGCGTGTTTGTAAAACAGGTACACTTGTGATTAATAAAATATCTGCAACGACTTCAGTCTGGACGTAGCACCCTACTTAGGCTTAGTGGGTGTGAACCAGGATATATCGTGTGTCCCTTGTCTCTCTGATTTAATTTCTGAATATTTTATTTAGAGACTGACAGTTACACTCATTCTGGTTTGAAAGTGTTGAAGCACCTTATAGGTTCTGATATAATTGTTGTAGCACTTGAACTGTTTTTTTTTTTGTATTTGGAAATTAATATTTTTCTGTTTTGTTTAAGAAAATTACATTGTTGCGTTTATACTCTATAAATTGCTAAGATACGCATTCTATTACTACATTGTTCATAGCATTGTGAAAAATTATTTTGGGCATATAGGGACTGAAGAAAAATTGTGTAATTGTTTACTGTATTCAAAAAGTTTTTGAAAAAGTTTAGAACACCTATTCACCCCCTCTAGGTGTTTTGTAAGCGTCCTGTGTAAGAAGCCACTTGCCCAACAACTTTATCCCATAAAAAAAAAATTAAATTGATAATTTTGTTACATTCTATCTCTTTCTATTTTATCTCACTCTATTTATTTAAATTCCAGCTTTAGTTATATATGCAGACACAGGAAATATGGTAGGATTAATAACATGAAAAAAGTGTATATTATTTTAAAGAATGTAAGGTTGTGTCATTTTAAATAAGAGAAAAAATAGATCGTAGGAGAAGAGAGTGTACAAACAAAATAAAAACGTAAGTCTCACCTATTTGTGATAGTGAAATGACACAAATTATATCATTTAAAAGAACAAATATTTTTTTTAATAAGATACAGTGGCTGGTGCCCAAAAACTATGTGTAGCTTGAGGCTAGAAGAAAATGGCTTCGGTCTGCCATCACAGTCATCATGTTTGAACTTCAACAATTAGTTGACCATTCCTTGCGTAAGCCATGAACAAATCAACCGTAAGTTCGGGAGAACGTTTTAAAGTTGCATTCGGATGAACTTTATTTTAATATGGATTTTGTTTTTTGGTTTACAATGGGAGTGTCTCACTTCTTTGGATAAGGCTAATCCCTTTGTGACACAGAGATAAAGATTTTTGTCACTCACCTCAAGTTATTTAAACTTTTTAACCCAAATAATTTCTTCCTTAGACACTACTCGATTGACAACTATACGACCCCATAAGTTAATAGAAAAGTTGTATTTTTTCTTTTTATTCGAATGTGCTGCAGTTACATACATCACATGATTAATGAGTTATAATATTTAACTAGTTGTGCAAGACAGTCCTTGCGATGTTTACTGGTGATGGAGGTAGCAGGACCTTCGGCTTTCTAACTAGAATAAGGCAATTTTACAAAATTATTGAGTTACTCAAAAAAAAATTATTGTAAAAATAGATTTTTAACAGTAATTAATTTGAGAATATAGGAAGTTATGATTTGGAGAGAAAAGGAAAGTTTTAACATAAAAAACAATTAAAAGTATTTATCGAAACTTTTTTAAAAAACATAAAAAAAAATATATATTTTTTAATAATTGAAATGACGTATCTAAAGACAAAGACAGGACTAAGAATTATATTTTATTATATGAAAATAGATTAATACAATTGCCACATTCATGGTGCAGGCCATATCCAAAGACACTAGACGACATAAAGATCACAACCAGCTAGACCGATCCACTTTTCCCCATCTCAATTTATAATCCAATACGCCCTCCAACCTTCCCATTTTTTATTTTTTTTTCTGATAAGCTCCAACCTCCCCAATTTAATTAATATTAGTATCTCCTCTCCCACGTTTTATTTTACCCATCAGCATATTTAACTAATATAATATATTTATCTTTTTTATATAATATAGAGTATTTCTAATATAATATTTGTTCATTTTTAATAATATTTTTTATATTAACCGAATGTATATTATTCTATTTTATTTTTTATATATATAGAATACGATTTTATTTATATGATTTTCTTTTTACAATAGATTTTTAGTTTAAAATAGTTTTTTCATTTAAATTTCCGAAATTGTATAATCATCAATTACTAAATTTGGTAATTGGCTTACACATTAGATCTAGTCATAATGTATCTATATCCCTTTTAGTCCGTTTGGATATATATTTTTCTTTAAAAAGTTAAAAAAAAAAATAAAGTGCATAAAAAAGTGGTTAAACAGAAAGTTGGGATTTTTACAAAAGAGTAATTCTCTGGTTCTCAATTATAATTATCAAAATAACAAAATATTCAACTCTTAGAATAAGGTCATAAGCACCCTTTTATAGACTAATTCCAAATTGATTCAAAATTCAAAAATCTAAAATTCTAAAAGTAATAAAACTTTCTACAATAAAATAACAGTAATTAAAATCTAAAAATAAATAAAATATTATAAATAAATAATTCAAAATATATCCCAAATCTTTAATCTCAAATCATTCCAAATATGTTGTTTTCTTTTTTTTTCCCAAACAAATCACAATCACATCTGCTGCTTTATTGGGACTTGGAATCCATTGTAATTTGTTGTATTTCAAATCATTGTCCGTTTGGATAGATTTTTTTTTTTAAAGTTAAAAAAAATCAAAATAATATACTTGGAAGCAACTTTTTTTTTTGGGGGGGGGGGGGGGGTACAAAACTTTAGAAAAGAATAAAAATGATAAAATCATTTTTTAAGTGTTTTATAGATACTAATCCACTCCCAAATTATTCTGTTTTTCGGAAAATAATTATCCCAAAATTAAGAGTTGCACAATTGACATTTTTTTCCTTACTTAATGTGACTTGATATTTGGGCTATAGTGGAATGGATGAAACGAGAAACTCATAGTGCACTAACACATTACAGGATAATGCTATCCAGGTTGGTTTTCATGCAAATTAGAGTCCGGTTATGGGCATAGCGGGAAGCTAATATAGGAAAATTAAAATTAGCATCAAAGTCAGCGTCAACTTCAGTGTTGGATGAATTACCATCAAGAATTTCATCGTCTTCGTTTTCAATGCACACCACTGTTAAGTCCCAATTTCAATCTTCATCATTATTTGATAGTATATTGATATTAAACTGTTAAATAAGGGTCACATTGCTATTTTTATATTAAATTTCTCTAGCATATCACAGAATAATTTATCGGGCTTGAATTGTATATAATGAATAATGCACAAGTTCATCTATGCTAAAAAAATTTACAACGAAAATCACTTTGTCACAAAAAAAATTTATATTATCTATCAGTTCATTAATTATTCGATTAGTTGGTTAAGTAAAGGTGACACTAATGGTTGTATAATAAACTTCTCTAACAATCAATTAAAAACTGGGGCAACGGATTCGTCATCATGAGTCTCAAGTAAGAATTGTTTACAACTTCTGCCTTAACATACAGTTCGAGTATTATAACAGCAGAATGTGACTCAAAACTCAGAAGTACTAACATCTTCATCATCGAAAATCTTTATAGTATATGTGTTCTCATTTATAGCTATAAGATTTATATGTCGAGTTAGAAGTTTGGCGTAAATCTTTCACTTCCAACATATAATTGATACCACGTTTGTCGCCTTTGAAATCCATGCCCCTTGACGTTCCTTCCTCATTGGCATCTTACAACAAATTAACCCATGATTGCTAGAATCCACATCGAATTCCTAATTGATACTCGTAAGAAATTACGAACCAACAAAACGTTGACTCAATCTGCTCTTACAATCCTTACTTTCTCTTCAATGTTTCCATTTTGAACACTAATTCTCTGGATTGGGAGTACGGCACCACAAAAAGAGGCAAGGCCAGAATGCCTTACCATAACTTTCAAAAACAGTGCTACTGATAGCAAAACCCCATGCACTTCAACAAAGAGGGTAGTAACGTCCAGACAAGTAATCGGTTATCGACAGCACAACCTTCTTCAGCAAACAAAGTAGTTAAAGTTAGCTCAGATCTAAATTTCTATCATTTTCAAAACAAATGATCAACTGCATCACTTACCATATATCAACTACCAAAATCATGACAATCACTCAACTGCCAAAAATCAAGACAAACAGCCACTACATATAACTGTTTGAATAGCATATCGACAAAAAGTAAAACCAAAAAGGAAAATGAAAAAGAAAAAGGAGTGAAACGATATACAATACGGAGAGCGAATGTTATTCTTAACCACATCCATAGTTTATATCAGGTGTTGCAGCAACAGCTGAAAATGGAATTTCAACTCTCTCTTTCACAAGACATCGGGCTTCCCCATTTTCCAGCACCAGAATTCTCCCGGGTGGACACTGAGAAATTGGTCCCTCGCTCTCATTTTCGGAGGTATATCTCTTGTTCTCAGTTTCTAGTCTGTGACGCCGGCCTTGTAGATTGAAACGAGTGCTTAGCTTCCCCAAATTAGGCCCAAATCCAGACAAACTTAATATTGATACCACACCAACAACCGTGAGCATTGTTTTGGCTGCAGATGTTATGAAAAATCCCAATCCTTTTCTCGAATTTTTAGCTTCATGTTCAACATGATTTTGCTCGTTTTCATTTTGACTCTTTTTTGCCTCAATCATTGGATCAAGTGTGATTAACCCATTACGACCGGACTTACTCACAGAAGGGATCTGAGACAAATATTCCTTGTCCAGAGACATGGAGTATGGAGGGCGGCTTGGATATGGAGGAAGCAGTAGATCATTGTTGGGCTCCACTGTTTCACTAGCAAAAGTGGAAGCTTCATGTATCACTTCCAATTCCTTACCTTTGTACTCCTTGAGCTTATCAATTAACATTTTGCGACTGTTTTCAATCTCAGCCAAGGCAATTTCTCTTTCATACCGCTGTTGTTGTTGCAGAACCTGTAAATTGTACACAACACTTTAAGATTCCCAAGCTATCATCTCAATCATATTTTGATTATTTTCCCATAGAAAAGAATAAAAATAAATCAGGAGAATTTTAAAAATCATCTCACAAGTACTATAACAAGTCCAATGATCATAACCTTGTACTGATAAACAAAAAGGGCCGACCCAGTTCAAATACCCACTTCGTGAGTGTCTGGGGAAGGGAATACTCTAGGCAGTCTTTCCCCTGCTTTTTGCAGAGAGGCTGATTCGAACCCGCGACCTGACACACCACGGCAAGCAAGCTTACCGCTGAGCCAAGCCGGCCCTTCAACCTTGTACTGATAAACAACTACGGAAAATCATATTCTTGTAGTGGCACAAAGTAGCAGTGTGAAAGAATGAAGGTATATTGGCCACCGACTCCAATAAGTTAAGTCTCATTTCACAATGTTGGTTTGCAAGGTCAAGAACGAGAAAACCATTCATTTATGCAAATATGAATAAAACAGTATTTGTACGAAAGCAAGAACATATACACCAAAATTCCACAATAATCTAATCAATCATCTTATGCAATCTAAAATATTCTAGGCTGCAAACACACTGCAGATTCCTATGATGGCAGCTAACCACAGCATTATTGAGCTTGAACATGTCTAGAGCTAGCTTCAATGCTACATAAGGCATATCAGTATTTGCTGACAAGAATGAACTGAAGCAAGCATCATAATAACAGACATATTTACATTGTGAAGAAAGTAAGCAACTAGAATTTTTGCAACTTAGAAAGGTCAAGGTCTCCATTGCTACAATCAGATGTAGCAATGAGATTATTTGTGGGTTTACTAAGAGAAACACCAAAACAACGAGCCAAATCTCAAACTTAACTGATTGAAGCATCAGATAACTAACCGTAAAATCTTATCTTAAAAGCAAAAAAAAAAAAATTAAAGACAGATGACCCATATTCCTATTCAACGAACCTAAAATATCCCAAATTAGAACCCCTAATTTTTTTCTTTTTTGAAAAAAAAAAGTAATTTTGATTTGAAGGGTACCTGCAATGAAGAAAGCTGAGTCTCCAAGGCTTCGAGGGCATCGCAAATGTTGAGAAGCCTTTCGGTGGCATCGTCGTCGTCGTCGTCGGCGTGCGGAGAGGGACCATTGGGAGATGTGGCGCTGGCACTGTGGACGCAATTGCTGATCTTTAACCTAAGTTCTGTGGCTCTCGCCAACACCAACCCTATTCCTTCCTCTTCCATTTCTCTCTCTCTCTCTGTCTTTGTTTGTTTCTTGTGTTCAATGCTACCCTAAAATCAAAGGAGGGACTTTGTTGTTTCAATTTCGATATTATTAATAATAATTTTGTGAAATTCAGATGGAAAAGTTTCAGATACAAAACCGCCAAATTCTTGTCATATCGCTGTCTCAGTGGTGGGGATTCTGATTCGGTGATTCTGGTGCTCACATATGGAAACAAATTCTACCCTCTCCCTTACTTTTTCTTTTTGTCAAACTTCCCAAATCGATAAAAAAAAATATGAACACAAAATATATATATATATATATTTTAAGGGTTTAATATTTTTGTTTTTTGCCATGAAAAGTTATTTTCTATCATTCTCTCATAAAAATGAGTGATTTTTATTATAATAAGAAGAGAGAGTTAAAGCTAACATAATATAATAACAGACTTATATTAAATAAGAAGAGAGAGTTAAAGTGAACGCGCCAGAAAAACAGAAATACTTCTTCCTTTCTTAAATGCCATTTTCATTTTGGATAGAAAGAAAAAGGGCTTTTTTTTTTTTTAAATAAAGAGGCTAAGCCCCCGAAACAAAAATAAATTACAAATCAGAAACTAACAAGCTAGACATATTTCTAGCATCAGTAACTATAAGTTCCATCAACTGAGGAGGATGATCTTTAAAAATCTTGAAATGGAGATTATTAGTCTGCCCAGCTTTAGCTAACCAATGAGCACATTTGTTGTTTTCTCTCTTGGTATGAACAAGATGAATAGTCCAATCTGCTTTTAACCATAATCTCAATCTGCTAGTGACTTGAGAGTCCCTAGGATCTTCATGCTGCTCCTTTAACATCTAGATGGCTTGGCTAGAATCACATTCTAGCTCTATTCTTTTTAATCCTGTTCCCCAAAGCAGTTCCAAACCTTTCAGTAATCCTCATAATTCTGCATCAAGAGGAATGCAGGAACCTAAATTACAATAGAAGCTTCCCAAAAAGGATCCATTGTGATCTCTTAATATACCACCACAACTAGCTTTTTTCATGCCACTAGAAGAAGCTCCATCACAATTCAACTTAACTCACCCTTGCTTGGGGGCTGTCCAAACGCTATCGTTGGAATCACCACGGCGCTGATAAATTCGGGCTTGCAGAATCTGTTGGACAAACATCCAAATTGAAGCCTGCGATTGCTCATCATGACAGAAATGATCTTCATGGATCTCCAAATTTCTCCACTTCCACAAAAACCAACAAGTAGTAAAGAAAATATCCCTCCAGTCCTTCACTTTATTGGAGGATCACATGTTATCGATATTTAAAGTCAACCAATCCTGCAAATTCGAATTCATAAAGGAATTGGGTATCGTACCTGTAAACCAAGATTGCCAAATTTTCCTAGCATGTCTACAATCACGAAGAACATGAATGATAGTTTCCTCATGATTTGGACAACTTGGACAGACATTTGAACCTCCGCTCCACTTACTGGTTCTGCTGCGCACTGAAAGTTTAGCAAGCAAAGTCATCCACATAAACACTTTCACTCGTTCAGGTCCATTCCACGACCAAACTTTTTTCCATAAGCTAGTGTGAACATCTGCTGGGAAGTTCATAAGATTACAGTAAGCGACCTTAACCAAAGAAGTTGAGTGATGATTATTGATCCAAACTAATCTATCCTCCCCATTCCTTGGAATAAGCCTGAGATGATTTGTTACTGCATCAGCCAAATCTGACTCCAGAAATTGATGAACAACTTCAAGACGGAAACCATCATCCGCCATGTAATCTGCAATTGATTTCTGACTCTCCTCCCACGGCACCTGATTGCTCCACAACTGCTGCAAATTTTCCTCCCATCCCAACCAGTTATCAGTCCAAAGCTTTACTTCAGAACCATCTGCTATTTCCCATCTAAGACCAGCAAGGAAATTACTCCAACATTTAGCAAGATCACCCAAAGTTTAGAGTCATATGATTTTGCCTTTATACCTCTCCTTAAGTCTTGACCTCTACCATACTTGGCTACTAAAATCTTAACCCATAAATCATCTTTCTTAGTTAACACCTTCCACGCCAGTTTATGAATATAAGCTTCATTTTGGAGTCGAAGATTAATTATTCCCAAACCACCTCTATCTTTGGGTTTATACATTTGATCCCAAGCTACTAAATGAGCCCGCCTTCTGCTATCCTGATCTCCCCAAATGAAAGCCCTTTGTATCTGCTCAATTTCATCACAAAACGTTACTGGTAAAAGACCATTCTGCATATGGAAAGAAGGGATTGCAGCAATGACCGATTTCACCAAAGTAACTCGACCAGCAAAAGAAAGGCAATGGCTTTTCCAACCATCCAGTTTTGAACGTATCCTATCCTTGATAGCTCCATAGTCTGCTTTAATATATCTCCATTGTTTAACAATAGAGCCTAAATATCTTCCAATACTATAAATGCGCTTAAAGCCCATTCTGTTGACAATCCTTGCAGCAACTTGAGTATCAATATTCGGGGAAAAATAAATTAAAGATTTATTTGCACTAACACTTTGCCCCGACATCTCACAAAAGAGATTAATACAATCCATAATCACCTTAGCTTGCTCCATATCTGCTTCCGCAAAGAGAATGATATCATCTGCAAATAAAAGGTGGGATACACTCGGCCCTCTTCTGCAGACTCTAATAGGCTTCCACGAACCCATAGTCACTTTTTCAGCGATCAAGTGGGAAAGCTTCTCAACACACAACACAAAAATATAAGGAGAGATTGGATCCCCTTGACGAATTCCTCTCTGAGGAACTATGCAATCCGAAGCCACACCATTTATCAAGACCCTCGAACGATTAGAAGTTATAGAAGCCATTATAACACCAATCATCCAATCAGGAAACTGAACTTCAATAAGCACTTTATAGATAAAACTCCAACTGAGTTTATCATAAGCTTTTTCAAGGTCCAGTTTGATTGCCATTGTACCTTTCTTTCCTTTTACTCTCCCCATAGAATGAACCAGCTCCTTTGCTACTATAATATTATCTTGAAAGAAAAAGGGCTTTGGATTCATCATTGACATGACTAAATTTTTTTTTCCTACAAAGAAAAGACAAGTTAAATAATAATAAAAAATTGAAGAGTCACATTATTCAACGATTTTATCTTGTTTTTAGTAGTTGCATGACACTAATTTTGTACCTAGAACATGATTCATATTTATCCCAAAGAAAAAATGCCATAAATGTGGGAGTTACAACAACCTACCATCCCCTGCCAGTCAGCCACGGAGTGTGTTTCTTTTTTAGTACATACATACAAGATGTTTTTTTTTGGTCAAACTTAATTTAAATTTAAAATGATTTAGAATTAAATTTTATTAATATTTTTTCTTAAAAAAATAATATTTTTTTTATACACTCACCATAATTATCTTTTTGAGACAAGTTGATTTTCGATATTTCACACAAGCTTCAACTCTTTGAGTTGGTTATTGACTAATTCAAAATCTGGGCTTAATTAGTAAAAAACTAATTCAACACAAAAGCTTAAGCTATTGAGTGAGACTACATTAATGATTTTATATATCTCTAACACGCCCCTCACACGAGAGCCCACTGGACTTTAAGGATGAATAATTCAGAGGCCCATATATCTGTGTTAAAAAATTCCATAAAACTTGATTAATTATTAATTAAATGAGGGGCGATGAGGATTGAACCCATAATGCTAAGATTCTGATACTGTATAAAGAATCAATTCAAACAAAAAGATTAAATATTGTTAAAGCTCTTCACCTTTTCACAAAAATATATTTGGTGAAAAAATAACTTTTTTCTTAACATAGAATTTATACCAAACAAGCGTAAAATAAAACTATTATAATTCTACTTCAACAAAAGAATTATTTGATATAAAGAGGGATTTATTTTAAAGGAAAAGAAAATATGAAATTGCAAGTATTAATTAAAAAGCTAATGAAATTAATTTTAACAACTTTATTTTGTGAGAAATTATTTTTTCATGCTACATGAGAAGAATTATCTCATATCATAGAGACAATATCACAAACAAGACCCAAAGGCAAGATGAGAAAAAAAAAACAATAAAGAAAAATTCACCTCTAATTTGTGTGTGTAAGAATTTAACTTCTCTCACGTGAAATGAGAAAAATATAACCCTTATTATTTACTTACATATATAACTTATTTTTGCTTAGTGATCAAATCAACACACCTCACTTAAAAGAGTCGAATTTCATACATCACCATCGTTAAAGAATTATCACATAATAGGGTTAGATTTTCATATATGATTTTATTTATAATTAAATTTTAGTTATGTGATTAAAATATAATCAAACTAATGTTTATGTGTATGTCTGTATGACAAGAGTTTGGGGTAGTATTAAATAAATCTCACTTAATGGGAGACAAGAGTTGAAATTTGAAAATATTACTTATGAAAAGATCAATCTTTTTAGACATTATAATCATTATTTGTTGTTTTACTTATGTGGTTTTTTTTTTTCCTTCATTTTTTGACTTGGGCTTCTTCAATCCACACAGAATTTGGACTTGTAAAAAAGCCTACCGAGCAAGTTTTTGTGCAACCCAATTCCAATTTCTTTTAACACGCATAAAGTAACATGAATTAAAACGGAAAACAAGCCTAGAACATCATCCCATAAGTGTTTTGAAGTTTTTGATCAAATTGCTTCTGTTTGTCCAAAAATATTTATTAGTGTTAGCCTTTTTTGGGTTCGAGAAGGAACAAGCAATACTTACATTTTCGAAAGCAACTAGTGTATTGACTTTATTGCAATGGCAACGAGGTCTATGAGAGTAAGAGATACTTTGGTATACCGTGACCATGTCGAAGCAATAAAATCTGGTTTTGCATCAAGCATTTTCATTTGTAATCAACTCATTCACCTTTACTCCAAACATGCCCTTTTGGAAGATGCCCAAAAACTGTTCGACGAAATCCCCCACCCAAATATATTCTCTTGGAATGCCATTATTATGGCTTACATAAAAGCACACAACTTGAAACAAGCACGAACCATTTTTGACTCTGCCTCTCATAGAGATTTGGTTTCTTATAATTCCATTTTGTCTGGTTATGTTGGTGCTGACGGGTATGAAACTGAAGCACTTGATTTGTTTACTAGAATGCAATCTGCACGTGATACAATTGGGATTGATGAGTTCACTCTTACAACCATGCTTAACCTTACTGCCAAACTACGTGTGGTGTGTTACGGGAAGCAGATGCATTCATATATGGTGAAAACTGCAAATGATTTAAGTAAGTTTGCAGTGAGTTCTCTCATCGACATGTACTCTAAATGTGGTTTGTTTTGTGAAGCGTGCAATGTGTTTAGTGATTGTGATGTGATGGTGGACTTGGTTTCAAAGAATGCAATGGTCGCAGCTTGTTGTAGGGAACAAAAGATGGACATGGCTTTGAATGTATTTTGGAAAAATCCTGAATTAAATGATACTGTTTCTTGGAATACATTGATTGCGGGATATGCCCAGAATGGCTATATGGAGAAATCACTTACCTTGTTTGTTGAGATGATTGAAAATGGTATTGGGTGCAATGAACACACATTAGCAAGTGTTTTGAGTGCCTGTTCTGGTCTAAAATGTTTGAAACTTGGCAAGTGTGTCCATGCTTGGGGGTTGAAAAATGGTTACAGTTCAAATCAATTTATTAGCAGTGGCATTGTCGACTTCTACTGTAAGTGTGGGAATATTAGGTATGCAAAGTCAGTCTATGATGGAATTGGGATCAAAAGCCCATTTGCAGCTGCTTCACTAATTGCAGGCTATTCATCTCAAGGCAACATGACAGAAGCCCAAAGACTTTTTGATTCACTATCGGAAAGAAACTCTGTTGTCTGGACGGCTCTATGTTCTGGCTATGTCAAATCACAACAATGCGAGGCAGTCTTCAAACTTTTCAGAGAGTATAGAACAACAGAAGCACTAGTTCCTGATGCAATGATTATCATCAGTGTACTTGGTGCATGTGCAATACAAGCTGCCCTTAGTTTGGGGAAGCAGATTCATGCTTACATCTTGCGAGTGAGACTTAATATGGATGAAAAATTGCTGAGTGCTTTTGTTGATATGTACTCAAAATGTGGGAATATCACATATGCTGAGAAAATCTTCCAACTAGTCACAGATAGTGATAGAGATGCAGTCTTATATAATGTCATGATAGCTGGTTATGCTCATCATGGTTTTGAAAATAAAGCTATTCAGCTTTTTCAGGAAATGTTGAAGAAAAGCGTCAAGCCAGATGCAGTCACTTTTGTTGCACTTCTATCAGCTTGTCGGCACCGCGGATTAGTAGAACTAGGAGAGCAATTTTTTATTTCTATGGAAGAAGATTACAATGTATTTCCCGAGATATACCACTATGCTTGTATGGTTGATATGTATGGAAAGGCTAATCAACTAGAAAAGGCAGTAGAATTTATGAGAAAGATTCCCATACAGATAGATGCTACAATCTGGGGAGCATTTCTTAATGCTTGTCAGACAAGCAGCAATACAGCACTTGTCAAACAGGCAGAAGAGAAACTATTAAAAGCTGAGGCAGATAATGGGTCTAGGTATGTGCAATTGGCCAATGTCTACGCTGCCGAGGGGAAATGGGATGAGATGGGAAGAATGAGAAAGAAAATGAGAGTGAAGGAGGCTAAGAAGCTTGCTGGTTGCAGTTGGATATATGTGGAAAATGGTAATCATGTATTTACTTCTGGGGACACATCTCATTCAAAAGCAGATGCAATATACTCAACTTTGGTAGGCTTGAATGGGGAACTGTATTTATCTTTCCCCGAACTGAAGCAACTTTATGAAATTGGGGGTGATGTTGTTGAGGACATATTTTGATAATCAACTAGCCAATGCCACTAAAAGTGGATGCTTTGCAACATATACAAAACAAACTAGTTTGCCATATGGAGATCATAAGATCACCATTCAATGCAGCATGCTTATAGATACCATTGCAGCAAGGAATTGAATATATAGTCAATTGGCGTTCTAGTACTACTATGAAAGTGATTGGAAGATTCAATTTTTCATTGAAGAGCAAATGGAAGAGAGGAAGCAGAGACTCCTTCACCTTTATGCTAACCTAGTGCAATTCATCATCCTGCTACCCAAATTTTGACACTGAGGCGATGAAGATATACTTCCAGGTACCTGTCATGTATTCCTTTAGCCAATGTTCGATCCTAGAGGATCGAACAACGTCTTTTCTGTAGATTGCCCTTATTTTAGGAATGAATAATTGAACCTACATGTTAATATATGCAATATTGTTGTATTCTATCACAGAATATCTTGGCAAATGCTGTAAACATCAACATAGAACCTTAAGTTGGCGAAATGACTTATAATTTGACTCTCAGGAGGCTTGCAAACTTTTTTTATGGAAATCCATATGGCAGAGCTTATTCATTGTGAAGTGGAGGTTTGTAGATTATAGGTTCTGGGAAGGCAGGTATTCAAGTCAGAAAAAGTGTTATAGTGTATCATATTTGGTGACATATAGAACATGAAGGAGAATTAACGCCCAGTGATTATGAAAGTTCATGGTCAATAATAAGTGTGTTGGTGCTATTATGGGTGATTTCAAGCATGTGGGTGGCGACATAGGAACATGTCCTGAATTCTTTTGCTTTTAGTGGATTTGGTTTTCAAGCATGTGAGGAGCTAGGAGAAGTCAGCTCCTTGATCCCCGCTGTTGTTAGTTGTTGATTCTCTCACTTTGTTGTTGCTGCTGCTGGTTTGCTATTCTTCTCTTGTGCTGCTGTTGCTGTAAAGACATTCTGTAGGTATAAAGTTCAGATACCACCGACAACGTCAAGGCAGAAGTAGATCCTTGTAGGGAAGCGCTAGCAGTTGGTGGATAAAAGGACCCATGTGAACCAAGACATACAGGAGTCCACCCTACACCTTGTGCAGTTGTGCCGTTGGTGGATTATTATTGATGCACCCGAGCTGATTGACTTGGATTGAGCTCAAATTTGGATAGTCAACTCCAAATGGACTTCTGAGCAAGACTCGTCATGTTGCCATGAGCATCAACAGTTTTGGGTTTTTCCATAGTTTATTCCATAATTTAGAGTTTTTCAATAATTGTTAGTTATTTACTTTTTTTGTTATTTCTTAGATTATGTTTGAGTGTACGTTATCTCCTTTACAATAGTTTATTCCATAATTCAGTTTTGTTATCTTTTTTATTATGTTTGATTTTATTTTCATTTTATTTTGTTTGCCTATTTAAGGTTTGAAGAACCCTATTGTTATTTGGTTGTTTTTGGTTAATAAAATTCAGAAAAGAGAAATAGTATTTTCTCGCAATCTTTATTTTCAGTCTTTCTTTTTGTTTAGGCAACTTCGACATTAGTTATTTATGTTTATGGTTAGTTAATAATTCAGTACTCTATATCTACTGCTTTAATTGGTTTGTAATGTCACGGGTAATGTGATTGAAATTTTAATCTACATTGAAATGTATAAATTCCTACCCAGATAGAAAAAGGAAAAACCATGGTTCTAACTAGATAACTAAAACTTGTAGGAATAATTAAAATTTGAGAAATTCTAGGAGTAAATGAAATTTTTTTCCAATGATTCTCCTATTACCTTCTCATGCTGTATGACCAAAAAGCTACAAGAATGTGATTTTTAGTATTGCTGGTGGGAACATAGACTTCTACTGAGCAGACGTACAGAAATACATTGTTTAGGATTGATCCATCAGCCATGGCAGATGTTGAGGCAAAGAATATACATAGATAGAGTGAAAAAAAAAAAAAAAAAAAAAAAACAATTTAGCAATAGTAAAATACTCAAACCCAAGGACCTTAAGATAGAGTTATGCTGCAAGGGTAAAGTAGTCCAGGGCCCCAAAACTTCCAGATGTAGCATCATTCTCTGGTCCCTGTCCTCACATTGAAGTGTAGTCATTCTGAGTGTAATATTTCATAGATACAAGGCTGATAATTATTATTCACCAGTTACACTGAGGCAGACACATTTCCTTCTTGCACGTTACACCTGTGCTTACCATCAAATATGTCTTGTATGGATATGGCTAAACAGACACTTATTCTGCCCACACAAATTCATGTATCCTACCTAACAAGGCATGCGATTACCAAGTTAATTCCTTTGAAAGAAGGTAATTGAATGTGAAGTTATGAGGGGTTAATTCAATGCCTTTCCAGCTTGTCTTTGATTGAAACTCCGGAATGCTCTTCCTTTGAGAGTCAGGTAGATAAGGCTCAACCATCTCCATCAAATCAGATGCTCCTAGACCTAAATTTTTTGCGAAGGAATCAACTATCTTCGGGAGAACTATTTTCTGTTCCTTGGTTATAGTGACAGTGGACTGCATGTATTCTTCTTTTGCAGATTCTAGCTCCTCTGATACTCTCTTGGATGTATATAAACGTACCTGAGAAAGTTACAACAAAGCCGAGCTGAGATTCTGAGAAAGTTCCCACATAAGAGGATTTCTTTACAAAGAGAGGGGATGAGCTGCTGTGGGAAGTTACATTTTATGTCAAGTACAAAGTTATATTTGTTATAATGTTAAATCTAAGAAGGATGTAACTATATAAATGCAAGAATCAATTGAAAAGTTTCTTTCGTTTTAAATCGTTATATTAAGAACTATAGACAAAGTTTCAACTTGGTGATCTACACCTTTAAAGATGGTTTTTATGTTACTTGAGTTACGAAGTGAAGAGGGAAATATGACCAAAAATCAAGGTGTATACATATCCTTCTAAATAGACAAATGTACAATAAATGCAGAAAGACCAGAAGTCTACCGCAGGATCAGAATGGCTTCCTGAGCAAAGAGCAAATAGTAATAAAGGTTCTGAACGATGTATAGCATATCCTTTTCTTGCATCTCTAACCTTTGATTTTGTCTTTGAAGGAAACCACAGCCGCAGCCACTGGAAGTAAAAGTAATGTCCATTACTGTGTTAAAAAACAGGATTTGATCTCTATTAACTAGTTTGTTTATTATGTAAAATGAAATCTACAGTCTTAGTACAAGTTTCTGGAATTCAGATTTACTTGTCCTGGACGAGGCATTCTGCATCCCAGAATGAAGTTCTGTATCAAGTCCACGCTTATAGTATGGCCCCCAATGTTATATGCAGCCTGAAATATCCACCAACTTATGTTAGCAAGAATTCATACCAGTTAGTTACTTGGAGTTTTATGAGTGACCAACTTTACCTTAAGCACCGAAGACATTCTTTTAACATTGTTGGCTGAAATTCCGAAAACTAATAAGGCCTGTGGAGGACAGACAACAAGATGGTAGGATACTTTTTGCAATACCATGCATAAGACAAAGCAGAATAGAGATTTAGAAATTTTACATGCATTGCTAAGGCATTGTGCACATTAATCCAAAAGGCTAGCTTTTCTTCGTGCTTCATTTTTCTAGGATTAACATCTTCCAGCCGAGAAGTAAGTGACCTGCATGAAGTAAGATACGAAGTTTTTCTGTCATTCCCACGCATCTTGGTGTATTATACTATTGATGATAACTTCAATTTTCGTGGTAAATCTATAATGTTTTGTTTCTTCATCCACCAAACAGATCATTTAGAAAGGCAACTAATCAATTTGAATAAAACAAGATCATGAAATAGAATAAGCACTGTAATATTGCTCACCTAAATCTCCGTAGCATGTACTCTATTTCTTTTAATTTCTGATTATCTCTGCATAATTGCTGAATCCTTAGCATTGAGCAATAAGGTCCACCAAATTCTTTTGACCCTTTGACATGGAAAGGGTTACTGGAGTTTAAATTGAAGGATGAATGCTTCTTCCACTGCGATCCCCACTTACTACCCTGGCTCTGTGATGATAACTCATTACCAGATGATGAGAATGGAACAGGTGATGAAGCATTTTTATGACCAAGAAAAGGTTGCTCTGCAAGTTCACTATATATAGCTGATATGCACTTAATCATCTCCTCGGAAAGCCAATTTGGTGTCTCTGGAACATTATCAACACAGCAATTCCCAAGATGATCTGCCAGGCTTGTTGAACTAGCTTTAGCACACTGAGCTTGCTGGTGAAATAAAATTTGGAAGCCAAATATTAGAGAGGCCTGCATATGAAATATAATGATGTAACCACTTCTCTTCTGTTTTATATTATCCTTACCTCTAGCATGGATAATGGTAGAGAATGGTAAGAATCTACTGCTTTGGTCTTGATGTCCACAGGAGAAGCTTCAATTGAGCAAGCTGTTCGCTGAGATAGTGCAGAGTAACATCGATGAATACTAGACTCTAAAACAGTTTCTGGTCCCAACTGGTTATTGCATTCCTTGAGCTGAAAGCCAGCTGAATTACTGGGTGGAATGAGATGACCAGAGTGCAGTGCTGAAATTTCTTTGTCAGAGATAGCACCATTGCCAGATACTGCAGAAGTTCTTGTGTTAGTATCTGAAGCTAATTCCAACCTTCTTTCCTTGGTTGATAAAGATGAAATTTGTTGATCAAATCTTCTCCGATACAAAGAGAGTAGATATTGTTCCAAATACATGACTTCTAATTCTAATATCCCAATTTCCTTAATCAGTTCCTTTGCAGCCTAAAATTAAGTAAGAGATTTAGAATTATATATAATTGATAGTTCAAAGGAAGACCCAACAAACTTCAAACAATTTAGAGAGTAAAACTGTATTTCCTCGTAAATGTTTGAGGGGATACCTTGGGTATTAAATTTTCTGTTGTACCATCCTGTGAAAACGGAAGATAACATGCTTTCTCTAATGCACGCCGTATCACTAATTGTTGCTGTAATCGTTTTTGAAGTTGTAGAATCTTCAGAGATACAAAAAAAATATATAAGCTATCAACCAAATGCATATAAACAAAATGAATACTACATTCTTTGACTCAAGGCTTATCTAATCATGCATAACAAGAACAATCCTATTCTTTTCCTTTAATGCTCCCTCCTTGCCATGGCTGCCAGTATTGTTATTATAAATGTCTCTAAAAAGACTATGTAGTCATAGCTTACTTGTAGCTAACCTGTATAGTGATAACTAAATAATCAGTCAAGATTTGTACCTCTCGAGTCAAAGAACTTTGAAGATCCATATTATGGTACTGCCTCTTCTTGGACTCAATGCTTTGCTTTAGTTCCCCCAGTTCCTTTTTATGATAGAAAAGAAAGAAAAATTACTAACTACTAGTTATACTGCTGCATACAACAGATGCACAAGCATTTACTTCTATGATCTGAAAGTCATTCTTATAAGTGAAGACTAAAATCTGGTCAAATAAATGAAAGAAAACTGCTCATATGTGGTGCTCAGAAATATGCAGCAAGAAGGAGAGGCAGTCTGTGCGTGTGAGAGAGAGAGAGAGATACTATTTTAGGCTGATAAGAAGCTTCACTGATGTTATCTTCCATGTTTCTCCTTCCCATTGGATCACTGCCAAACAGTAACAAAATGTCAATATATACGCAAATTGAACCTTGTTTTTTAAAACTGCTTAATACTGATATGTTTTTCAGCAACGTGACATCGAATATATAAGAAACTATTAACTGTTAGGTTAATCTCGTGCTATGATCCTTGTGAAATAAAGCAAGATTCTCTGTTATCAAAAAAAAAAAAAAAGCAAGATTCTCTGTATTTAATGACATAAATCTGAAGCAAAAATTCTGGATAGCTTAAAGAACCGTTATTTGTTTCAGAAGCTAATGCACTGAAGACGGAAGATGTATGTCATTATAACTCATTTCTTCAGTTTATTTTGTTTAGAAAGACCACAACTGAGTGAGCTCAGAATACTGGAAAAAAGAAGGAACAGAAAATGTTCAAAGTAGGAAACGAACTATGTCAACAAAAAACCTGTTGGAGCGCTTGTGACTTGAAACTGTTGGAACCATGAACTTGAATTGCTTGAAACCAGAATCGCGCCACTTTATTTCATGCATGTTAGTGTCAGAATTGGCTTAAAACACTGTCAATGAATGCACCAAAACAGCATTAAATGCTACTGATATTAGGACCAGATATTGACAAGTTTCATAAGAGTGACATTATCAAAATGGAAGATACTTCCAAAATACATTAATTTAAAGCATAGCTATGCGTACAAGCAGCAGAATCTCCACTCTGATAGAATAAGACTTCTCACAGAAACAAATTTTTGGAAAGCTGAACCAAGTTTGGTGGTTTTAAAACAAATTGGCTCTCAGTTATATCTATTTCAAACTCAGAAACACATTGTCCCTTTTTATATGAGTCAGCTAAATGTTATTTTCAACCATAATGGTACAAAGTGAACATGAGGGTATATTTGTGCTGTACTGCTGTTGACAATTTATGAAGCTTATAAGACTCTTTTTTCTTGACTAGTCTAACAAGACTAACCCACCCCTTTCGAAGCCTTTGGTAAAGTTGTGCCTTTTGCATTTCCTTAAAAGAAGAAAACAGGTCATAGCTTTTGTAAAATATATTTCAAAATAAAACTTAAGGATTAGAAAACAAGAAGGCAAACTGAGATATGTTATATACATGGCAGATTATGCTATCAACAATGATTCAAATATATAACGTGCATGTTTAAAGGTACACCAACTTTGAAGCTTTTGTGTTGGTGGGCTTTTTGTATTGCATTAAAAGAAGCAACAAAGTGAGACCTTCACCGTTTAGAATGTAACAAAGTGACAAAATACAGAGAGGTGATTAAGAAATGGCACTATGTTGGTTGCATAATGCAATACAGTAACCACTCGTGCACTTGATTTCTTTTCTATGCCATTCAAAGAGCAAACTCCCATGTAATGCATTTCACAAATCATTTATTTGGATTTGATTTTAAAAAGGTAAAAAGTACAGTGTCCTTAAAATTTGACCAAGTGCCATCATTAAAGAATGGTTTTAACTCGGAAATTTATCTCTTTAGGTTAATTGTTTATACAAAACACAAAACAAATTTTACCTACTAATTAGACTATAGCTACTTAGCTAGCACCATCCTCCTACTTCAATGGGAGGTGAAACAGTTTGCTAATAAATTTACTACCTACTCTTAACTGATTCACTTTGAAAGCTCAGGCTTCACCCAACAGTATTTTGTATAGTTATTGGTCACATTTGGTTTAAAGAATTATAATGATATATAAAAAAACAACAACTTATGAGATACGCATAATTATTAAATTATATGTGACGTTATACAAAGAAGTTTCAACATAATATTAAATAAAAATAAGGATATGATCAATCTATATCGGTGTAAGAATAATAAGTCTTACATTAAATTTTTACTGTTGATTTCTGTATATCTAACGGTTATGATTTATAGTAAATTAATTAATTAATGTAACCTAATAAATCACAACCTATAGATTCACGAAAATCAATAATTAAGATTTAATGTAAGACTTATTATAAGTTGATTCTGCCCCAATTAAATATATATACAGACAAGTTTAAGAATGTAAAATTATAATAATTTTTGTACCATGTATTTATAGTTTTACCTAAAGCATGACCCCTCCACTACATTATGCTAGCAACTGGGAAGATTGAAAAAGAAAATACAGTGAGATTGGTCACTGGGAAGAAAAAGGAAGACGCACTTAGAAGAAAAGCAAACCTCAAAAGGGCTGAAAGTTTATTGTCAAAGGAAGAACCAGTAGATGTTTTGATATGAAATGACTGGTTTTGGTGGGCTGTCCCTTTGTCTAATTTCGTAAGAAAACTTGGATACAACCAATTTTTGCATTTGTCAATGACTTTGGTGGGAAAAAGTGTCCTGCCTTTTGTCATTGAATTGGGTGCTATACATGAAGAGAAAAAGCATAAAATAAAAAGTCTCTATGTAGTTACAAAAACAGGTATAGATATATGCATGTCTGCATAATTAATGTGTGCGCCTATTTATTTATTTATTTATTTTCGGTAAATATGTGTGCACCTATTTTACATGAGGAGGAATATTCTCACTACTAAAATTTTCCACTACCAACTTACTACCTATCTAATCACCATTAGATTAATATTTTCTCTCTCTTCAACAACTTTTTAACATTCTTTCTCTTTGATCCAATGATGATGTGATGGGTAGTAAGCTAGTAGTAAGAGATTTTAGTAATTAGAATATCCTCACTCATTTTACATTAGGCAAATTATACTCTTTGATGAAGAATACTTTTCTTTTCTTAACCATAAATAAAAAAAATTACTAAAAAAATAAAATTAAAGGAAGGGAAAAAATATATTGTGCTTGAATGATAGATTTACATTTTTACCCAAAACTTTAAGGTATTAAAGTTTATGAAAAAAAAAAACCTTTTGTGCTTGAATAATAAATGTCATGATAAGTTAATAATATAATAACATCACCTACTATTTTGAACGACAAAGATCACCAACAATGTATAAGGAAACCAGACCACAATAAATAATTTAAACACCACATATTAATCCAAAATCTTACGTAATTCATTTCTAACCAATAAAAGAATTACTTTGAGTTATCCAAAAAAAAAATTACAATGAGTCTCACTTGAAGTCATATATTTTATTGAACCAAATGGGTAGCAGCAGTGTTATCAACCCGACGAATCAGTCATTGAATAGATTCGAATCAAGTATCAAACCGATCATGTATCAAACCTAGTCAAATCTTACAAAAATCGATCAAATCGGTGACCCAGCCAGGTCATGTATTTTCATAAAAATAAAAAAAAACCAACAACCAAAAACCAAAGTTGTTTAATCTTGTTTGAAAAAAAATGTAGAGCTCATTTTAAAAAAATTTGTAATTTTATTTGCTAGTAATATACTCTTCTACAGTGACCTCAAATTTCAGCTTCCAAGACTGAAGTAATTTGTCGAATAATAAATTAAGAGAATGTGATATATGTTATTTCAATGTCATTGAGAGGTATGCTTACGGAGATTCTTAGTTGCAATCTAAATTGACAGAGGGATAGCTTGTATTTTCATTTATTTGTGCAATTTATTTATTAATTATGAACTTGTAAAATTGTGATTGAGTAATTTTTTCTCTTATTTAGTAACCTTGTTTAACTCATTTTAAATATGGAGAATATAATTAAATTTATATGTTCATATATATATATATATATATATATATATATATATATATATATATATCTGGGTTAATCGCTCCGACTAGTAACCCAATACCCAGACCGGATCGATATCCGGATCGGATTTAATAACACTAGGTAGTAAATGGAATATGCAACTAGGGTCAGCATGGAAAAATTTAATATATTACTGTCACACTGAGTGTTCGGTGCAACGATTATATTTGCACTATGCAATTCTGAGAGTGCATAATATAAATATTAAAGTTGTTTTTTTCTTCTCGGCTCAAAAATTGTCAACTGGCATGGATAGAAAAAAAAAATTAACTTTAATATTTTTACTTTCGGAAGTAGATAGTAAAAATAGCGATGGTGATACAAAAATACTCTCACGCACCAGATTGAATTTACTTATAGGCCATGTAATTATAATGATATGCTGAGAATAACCCTTTGCTCAAGAATGTGAAATCATGGCGAACTTCTAAAAGATCATGCGATACATTAAAAAATAATCGTAAAGGGTTATTCCTATTATATAAATTTGGGTCTAGAAGTGGCCCAATATAAAAAACAAACTATTAAGCTATATGAACTCCATATGTAAGCTGCGTGCAATATAGAAGTTAAAACTCAAAACCAACTGTGCCTCTTGCAACTTCTAACATTAACTTTTGATACCTCACGAAGTTTCTAGCTTGACTTGTAGGTAGGTTGAACCTGAAAACCAATGCACTTCTATTCTATTCTATTTATGTTGGGATTCTCATTATTAGAAAACATAAAAGATGCTTTACGTCTTCTCTTTAGCTAGTCTTAAGACTGACCAACATAAACAAGAACCCTTAATTAGAAATTAACCTCTCTATTCGAGCAAAACAATTATCAATTTTTCGGAGGAAACTGACAGACATACTTATGGCTTTAATAATATAAACCAGACCACTATCATAGCTTAGCACAACTGTTTCATTCAATAATCCAAAACGAACAAAAATTCTACAAATTTCAAAACCTCAGAATTAGTGCAAACCGTAAACTAATATTTGCGTTGGACATTATGCCATATATGACTTGTTAGTATAAAAAATTTATTCTAATGTCAAACAACTTACAAAATTATAAAATTTAGGAAGAAGAAGATATGTAACTAGAGTTGTCTAGCGGGTTGTAAACTATAGTATAGGCACAGAGATTAATAAGTAAATTTATTAGAGGAATCATTGTTTTTAAAATAGCATCATTAATGAGTATATGGAACCAATGCATGCATATTTATTTCGGTTTGTTACAATTAACATTTTATAACCTTGTCAGAAGGTAACCGAAGTTTCTTTCAACAAATCATGAAACAGAATCTTTTCGTTGAGATTGGTGAGACAGAGTGTTTTCCTATGTAAGAGTGAGAAAGACAAAAGGCATGGAAAGCAGTAACAGGGATTGGAAACCTAAAAGACCTAAAATGTTGCAGTGGCAAATTGGCCATATCTTCGAAGGAAAAACATTTTTTTATGTTACGTGAAAATTTAATTCTCATGTTATGTTGTTTCCATTTGTATGCAAAGATTTATATTTTTTTTATTAATAAATATGAGGCTCACCACTAATTGAGTTAAAACATGAAAATTCAATTCTCATGCAACATCAGAAAATATTCTAACCCCTATCTTAGAATTAGAACTGCTTCCACAATCCACATGTATTCTTGAATTTGCAGTGTGTTAATAATAACAAGTAGATTAAATTTTGCTTTTCTTTGGAAATTGAGATTTGCAAACACCAAACCCACTGACATAAGCATAAACCTGACCCTGTCATTGAGCTCCCTGAAGATAACGTTTAACACTTATACGCATAGTTTTTTTATTTTTTTTATGCATAACACTTATACACTTTAGATCATTTGCTTTCTTAATTTTGAAGGAATCTTGTGCATGGTCACAAAATTAAGAGAAACATGTGTAATTTCATAAATTTAAGAACATTTTACCGGATATTCATTTGTCCACAGCAAGAGAAATTGACAGCGTAGTTAGATATCATAATGAGTTTTACGATTGCATACTCCTAATCCAAATTGAGATATATTATTGCCCAAATAATCTCGCAGGAATATTGTTGGGATAATGTAAAGAATTACTTCAACCAAAATCTTAAGGTGTTGGATGAGAGTTTTTTTTAATGATTTATATTAATCTCTAACACACTCCCTCACACAAGAGTCCTTTGGACGCTTTTTGTTTTAATTCTACTTTAAAGTGGAGGCGTTAACGATCAAACTTTTGACTTTGTAGTCACTCAATCTCTGATACCATGTAAAGAACCACTAAAACCTTAAGGTGTTAGGTGATGGCCTTTTTAATGATTTATATCAATCTCTAACATCAAAGGCTAAATTTAATATGAATAGAAAGTTTTTAATAGTTTGAAAATTTGGGTTTGATGTTTGTTCTTTTAAAGGATATAAATTATATCATTTTAGGAGAGAGATAAACACAAGAAATGAAAATCATAAAGAAGAAAGTGGTTTTTTTAATTTAAATTTTAAATAAAAAATATTATTTTGTGTCTATTTCTCCCTTAAAATGACTTAATTTTATGTCATTTAATATGAGAAACACTTAACTGAAAATTTTGTAACAAAATAACCACGGAGAATGGTTGGATGTTCACAAATTAATTATTTATGAACATTAAGACAATAATTTTTATATTTCATTTTTGGGAAAAATATTTTTTGAATCAATGTAGATAAAGTTATCTCTAGTAAATTCAAAACGACGTCATTTTAGGGTTATAAGATTAAAAAATTATAGTGATAAAGACTAATATAACCTTGCAATATATTAGAATTACAAAAATATCTTGATTTTTATTCCAAAATAACATCGTTTTGAGCTCACCAGAGATAACTTATCTTCTCGAAAAATTATTTACCCTTCATTTTTTTCATAAAAGTTTAGGGAGATAGGATGCGACTCCATTTCAAACCTCTATTTATTTATTTGTTAAAGTCAGTTATAGATTAACTAAAATTAAAAATCTTTATATTATCATTTTTGGAGAAATAACTGGAACTTCTGCCCCTTACATTCACCAAAATAATTTTTTTGGAAGAAGAACTCATAAATAAATGGGTTTAATGTCTCTCATGGTAAGAAATAAATTTAATCTTTTATATAAATATAAAAAATGTATAAGTCCCATATTTTTTTCACTTTCTTCTCTTCACATGACCTCACATAAGTTTCACACATTTTTACGTATGTGTAAGTGATAAAATTATTTCTTATAGCATATGAAATATTAATCCCGAATTAAATATACATAAATTGGCATAAAAGATTTTAATTTAAATAGTCATGATGACGTGAACAAGTTTTCGAAGTTGCCAAAGATGGCACATGGGAGCATAGCTCAAGTTGCAAGTTCAGATTGACGTTATAAAGCTATTCCCGACATGTAAATTAAAAAAATATATATATATATTACACAAACATTCTTTTCGTCTCGTTTATTTTGTTTTGCAATTAATATTTTATTTATTTTTGTTTATATTATGGAAGATGTTATATTTAGTATTTTTTTTTTTACTATTTTTTACTATCAAATCTTAATTATTGATTTTTATTAATCTAACAATTATAATTTATTGTGTTATACTTGTTAATTAATTAGTAATTCTCAATAAATTATAATTGTTATATTGACAAAAATCAATAATTAAAATTTGATAATAAGAAGTAATAAGAAAAAATGATAAGCATAACCTCCCCTGTTATTATTTCTTAATTGTGCAACAGATATAGGTACATTCATATTAAAATGGGAAAAATTTTAAAACTTAAAAGATATTATAAAAAAAATATGGGTTAATAAAGAAACAAAATTCCCTTTTTAGGAAAAGGAAGGTAAGAAATTTCACAATTTGTGCCACTCGCTAACACTTTTATCATAGAAATGCGAACGCTAATAGAATTCGTTAACCTGTCAACTTTTTTGACTTATTACTTGGGGAAAAAAAATTAGTTTATTGCTTTTTTTAATAAAAAATTATGAATAAGTAATAACAAAAAATTAATTTATTGCGTTTTGAAATTAATTATGAAAATATAGCAGTGAAACACGTCCCATAAGGGCGTGAACGGTTGGAGAGAGACACACCCAATCTAGGCGTGACTGAGGAGAGAGACACGTCCTATCTGGGCGTGTTTCACCAGGTGCTGCCACGTGTCACAAAAGTCAACAGTTTGATCGTAAAACTTTGGAAGTCCATAACTTTTCACTCGGGTATCCGAATTAGGTAATTTTTTTTTTATTCCACATAACTTTTCGAAATATACGTAATGACACTTCATTTGGCATATTTTGTCTCTAAAAAAAAATTAAATTCACAATAATAATACCATAAGAACGTTTAAACTCAAATTAATAAGCAGAAAATCACTGTTATGATTAGAAACATTCATAATAAATATCCTTATGATTATGGTAAGTTATGATACGGTTAATTATGTATGTTATTGAGATATATATTAAAATTTTGAATGAAGAATTTATGAAATTTATAATTTTATTCGGTTAACATCTGTCGGTGACAGAATATCAAATAATTTATATTAAAAAGTTAAGTGAGTGCTTTTCATTTTATTTTGATTTTTAAGTTTTTGTTCATGATTATAAAAATCTTAGATTATTTTTAGTAATAATTATAAGGTAACAAAGTCATGTCATTTTTAATAATTATAGATCATTTTTAATAATTATGGTATTATTGTAAATTCATTTTTTTTGTGAGAGACAAAATATGTCAAATGAGGTGTCATTACGTAGATCTCGAAAAGTTATGTGGAATCAAAAAAACAATTACCTAATTCGAATACCCGAGTCAAAAGTTATGGACTTCCAAAGTTTTACGGTCAAATTATTGACTTATGTGACACGTGGCAGCACCTGGTGAAACACGCCCAGATGGAGCGTGTCTCTCTCTCCTCGGTCACGCCCACATTGTGCGTGTCTCTCTCCAACTTGGTCACGCCCCACGTGGGCGTCTTTGATTGCTATATTTTCGTAATTAATTTCAAAACGTCTACATTTTCGTAAATTTTTATTAAAAAAGCAATAAACTAATTTTTTTTGCCTATTACTTGACCATAAAATCACAATTGAAACTATTTTGAGACATGTTGTACCGATATTCACATTGAGACACGCTGATATGTTAATTTTATAAAATGTCATATTTTTATATGTCAGGACACGTTTTGATATTAAATAATATTTTTAATATATATAATATAATTTATATTTAATACATATAGCAGTCCATAATAAGTCATATAATCAATCAAATATTCAAATTTCATAACATAAATATAAACAAAAATAATACATTGTTAATTTTTCGTGTTAAGTTTCATAACAAAAAAAATTGATTTATAAACTATTATTTTTTATGTTTGGTTAATAAAATAAAACTAGCATCTAAAAAAGCAACGTATCGGAAGTGTGCCGAAAAAAGTTGACTGTGTGTCGCAAAAATGTGTCAGAGCATTGGCCGCATGTTCCAAAATATTAACCGCTTATCAGAACGTGTCAGTATCAGTGTCCAACACACAATTTTTAAGAAAATGTGCGCGTCCGTGCTTCGCTGGTTTTGAGCGTGTTCTCTACAAGATGTTCTAAAAGGTGTGGATACATTTTTGTTTATGGTTTTAAAAAAATAGAAAAAAAAATATTTATCCTTTGAAAGAATTTTGATTAAAATTAATGTTATTTATTTGATATTTAAATTAAAAAAAATCTTTTACTTTCTCTCTGGTAGACACATATAGGATAAGATATTATACATATCTTTTTTATACCTATTCATCTTTAACGCTATTAGATCAGAATCTCAAATAACTTCTATTATTTCTTTCTCCCTTTAAAAAAATAGGCATAAAAAAATATAAGTATAATATCCTATTATATATATATATATATATATATATATATATATATATTGACATCACTCTTATCTCATTAAATAGCTTCACATGACAATTTTTGTAAATAATACTTATAAAATTTCACATCAATGTAAAACTATTTTATACTCAAAAATTATAGTAATATATGTCTGAAATACATAAAATTACTACTAATGATGAACATGATAATTAGCAGTTAAATGGATAATAACATTTTATATAAAGTTGTTAACTGTTATAAGAATATATAAAGTCTTGCTAAAAAAAAAAATACACAAAACGCAGAGAGAGAGAGAGAGAGAGAGCAGTTGCTAACTTTATCTTTAACCAAAAAAAAAAAACCCCGAAAAACAGAGAAGAGAAGAAAAATCAGTGAAGTTACCTTCACATGTAATGTAACTCCATAAGATAAGAATAAAAACATCCTAGTTGGCCTCAAGGGTGCTGCTGCTAGAAATTCCCAAGTAGACATTTACATAAACTAGTAGCATATAAAAGCCCCATTGAGGCTATATACAGCTAGGATTTCAAATAGAAAAGAAAAGGCAGACGAGGTAGGAATAAGGAACTTTGGAAACATATCTCAGCAGACCTTGCTGAGATTAGTGTGATATTCAAAATAATTAATTCCAGCAAAGCAAATATATGTTAGACCTGTACGCCAGTATGTATTATATATAAGGGACTCAAGTCGTCAATTTCTGTCTACAAGCTCTGCTGGCAAGTTTAGATCAAAAAAACCACCACCACCACCACCTCCAAGACCCTCTTTTCTAGCACGCTTACGAGAAGAACATCCACCCTCATCTGAACTCCCCGATCCAGAAGGCCGATCAACTTCTGCCGTTCCACCTACACGCTTGCAGCATATACAATAATCCTTTTCACTCAGTAACATTCTGATGAGCATCCACAAAGTCAAACTGAAGAAAACATATATATATGAACATTCATAACATAATACAATACCAATGATCAATTATATAAATTAACGAGTTGGCACCATATTTCATATCATAATTTTTGTAAAAGTAAAACTGGAAGAAATCAAAATAATAATAATAAACAAAACAACTTAAGAACTTGGATAAGCACCACAAGCATATGTAAATATGTAATATGTTCATTCATCTGAAAACTTATTTATTTTTTATTTTTATTTTTCTTCTTTCCCTCAATCTATTCTTACTTTTTATTTGTACCATCAATCCTAATTAGTTTTAGATAAATGTATAGTTGATGTTGATGTTGATATGAAAACTTAGTACTTCAGTTTTCAAAAAATCATTTTTCAAGCAAAATTAATTTCACGAAAAAAAGAAGAAGAAGAAAGCAAGGTTAAAATCTATTAGATAAGTAGTGGTTTACTTTCTGCTATTGTACACATGCATGTATCAGATCCTCATCTCCCTTTCTGTTTTAGCTTTCTGTTATAGCTTTCTGTTATACGGTTTGTTTGTTAGAACTGACTCACTTGCTGAGTCAGCATTCTCACACTCTATATATTAATAGAGTGTAGCATTGTGTAATGTGTGCTCTTCATAATAAAGATTCAGATCCAAATATTCTCTCTCTCTCTCTCTCTGTCTCTCTCTCTCTTGCATCAATGGTGTCTCTCAAGAATTCTATTATGGTATCAGAGCTCTCATCTTGAGGGCCTGATCCATCATCGTTCTTCACTATGTCTTCCGCATCCAACTCTGAAGATAGTGCTACAGCTGGTAACAGTGCTCCAGCATCCTTGAAGTCGAACAGAGAAGCAACGTCAATGGAAAATCGTGCTCCTCTTCTCTTCAATCATCAAGTTACAGTGAAGCTTACAGATGACAATTATCTGCTCTGGAATCAGATAGTTGAACCGATTATAACATCGCATCAACTTCATCGTCACCTTGTGAATCCAAAAATTCCTATTCAATATGAGTCTGAAGAAGATCGTTTGAATGAGATTCAGAATCCAGCGTATATTCAATGGCTCACACAAGACTCTATGCTTTTATCTTGGCTCTTGTCCACTATCTCTGAATCTGTTTTGAACGAGATACTAGGAGTACAGTATGCTCACGAAGCTTGGGATAAGATCCACAAGCTTTTTCATGGAGTCATGAAGTCCAGATCTCGTCATTTACGTTCAGAATTCAGATCTATAAAGAAAGGAACTAGAACTGCCAAAGATTACTTGTCTCGCATCAAAAGCCTCTGTGATTCTCTCAAAGCCATAGGAAATCCAGTTACGAACGAAGATAGAACTGATTACATACTGGAAGGACTTCCAGTTGAATACAACGTGTTTGTGACTACTGTTCATGGAAGAGAAAATCCCTACTCGATTGAAGATCTAGCCATTGAGTTAATGACGCATGAACAGATGCTGTTAAAGCAGAATGAGTCTCTTCTTGATTCAGTCACTGTGAATGTTGCTCAAAAACAGAGTAACACGTCTGGTTCTACTCCTCTGTTTGCCCCTGTTTTTGCAACTCAGGAACAGAGCACTGGTCAGACCTCTGTACAGAGGGAAGGTGATGATTCTCTTCGTTCTAATGTTTCATATAGAGGACGAGGACGCTATAATAGCAGAGCTAACAGAGGTAGAGGGCGTGGAAGCAGACAAAACATGTATTGTCAGTTGTGTCACAAGTATGGTCATGACGTGAAGAGTTGTTGGCATCGTTTTGATGAAGACTTTGTGCCCACTCTTCCTTCTCCAGAAACTCAATCAAATGGACCATACTTTGCTCAGAGACAACCTCTACAGACTCAACAAAGGTCGTATCAGTATGTTAGGCCATCTCCTCAGGTTATGATTGTTGCACAACCTGGTTTGCTTCCAACTCCATCTTTTGCTCCAGCTCTTGAGTGGTTCCCAGATTCAGGTGCCTCTCATCATGTGACTTCGAGTCCTCTGAACTTACTACGGAGCCAACAATTGAGTGGTTCAGATCAGGTCATCATTGGTAATGGGCAAGGTTTGGCTATTCAAGCTGTTGGTTCCACAAAATTTATTTCACCGTATGATTCTCACAGATGCTTACATCTCAAAAATCTATTACTTGTTCCATCTATCATGAAAAATCTTATGAGTGTTAGTCAATTTGCTAAAGATAACTCTGTCTACTTTGAGTTTCATCCAAGTGTTTGCTTTGTAAAATCGCAGGACACTCATGACATTCTTCTTCGTGGAGTACTTGGCAATGATGGTCTTTATCGTTTTTCAGACATTTCCCTTGCTTTGAGTCAAGCTCATTCTCTCAAGTCTTCTATCCGTTCCAGTCCTTCAACTGAAAGCTTTAACCACTGTACTTTTGTTGAAAGTGATAATAAAGCTGTTGATCAGCCTTGTAGTGTTAGTCAAACAAGTCCTTCAATTGTTAATACAGATAATTTTCCTCACTGTAATTTTGTTGAGAGTGAAAATCGAGCTGTTGATCAGCCTTATACTGTTAGTCAAACTTGTGTACCTTCAAATTCTACATACTCTCTATGGCACTGTCGTTTGGGGCACCCCAATCATGTAACCTTGACAAAAGTGCTTAACTCTTGTAATATTTCAATTTCTAATAAACAAGTTAGTGATTTTTGCTCTTCATGCTGTATGACAAACTGTGTATGAGACACCTTTTGCTCTTGTCTATAGTGACTTATGGGGACCAGCTCCTTTTAAATCTACCTTGGGATACACTTACTATATTTCTTTTGTCGATGCTCACACCAGATACACTTGGATTTATCTGTTAAAACAAAAATCTGATGCTCTTTCCATTTTCAAACAGTTTCATTCCTTGATAACAACTCAGTTTCAACTTCCCATTAAAGCCTTACAAACTGATTGGGGTGGGGAATTTAGACCTTTCACTGATTATCTCAAACACCATGGCATCATTCACAGACTTGCTTGCCCTCACACCCATCATCAAAATGGTGTTGTAGAGCGCAAACATCGTCATATTGTTGAGCTAGGTTTAAACTTGTTGTCTCATGCCTCCCTACCATTATCCTTTTGGGACTATGCCTTTCTTTCAGCTGTGTTTGTTATCAATAGGCTTCCAACAGCATCCTTAAATTTTGTTGTTCCTTATACAAAGCTGTATCATCATAATCCAGATTATCAGTTTCTTAAAGTGTTTGGATGTGCTTGTTTTCCATTTCTTAGACCTTATAATCGTCATAAACTTGAGTTTCGTTCACAAGAGTGTGTATTCCTGGGTTATTCCACAAGTCATAAAGGATATGTTTGTTTAAATAAAGATGGCCGAACCTATATTTCAAAGGATGTTCTTTTCAATGAATATAGGTTTCCTTATGCTCTTTGGACTAACACTACAGCTGATCCTTCCCCTACTATTCCAGTTTCTGCTCAGATACCTTTAATGTCTCCATTGATGTCTGAGTCTTTTTCTTCACCAGTTTCTTCTTTTCAGCAATCTCCCCAGCCATCTTCTAAGTCCAGTTCACCCATTTCTTCTTCTCCCTGTACAGCTTCTGTATCATCATTGCCATCCTCTGTTCCTGCGTCACATAGTAGTGTTCCTGCAACTCCAATGCAGTCCTCTAATTCCTCTTCTACAACATCTAACCCACTGTCCTTATCTCCTGCTTCTGAGTCTTCTCCCTCCTCAAGTTCTGAGTATTTTCCCCCTTCTTCTCTAAGGGAATCCTCTCCTCCTCATTCTATTATGACTAGATCCAAATCTCTGGCCAGATCCACTGCTCTTCTTGCTTATACAGAACCTTCTACTGTGAAGCAAGCTTTAGCCAGTCCACATTGGGTTGATGCCATGAAGGCTGAATACAATGCACTTATGAATAACAATACATGGACTCTTGTTTCTTTGCCCTCTAACAGGAAGTCAATTGGTTGCAAGTGGGTCTTTAAAGTTAAAGAAAATCCTGATGGCACAGTGAACAAGTATAAGGCAAGGTTAGTGGCAAAGGGGTTTCATCAACAAGAAGGTTTTGACTATAATGAAACCTTCTCACCAGTGGTCAAACCTGTTACCATTCGGATCATGCTTACTCTTGCACTTACTCACTCTTGGTCCCTTAGGCAACTTGATATCAACAATGCCTTCCTCAATGGTGATTTGCTAGAGGATGTGTACATGAGTCAGCCCCCTGGTTTTGAGAATTCAGATAAGAACCTTGTGTGCAAGCTCAACAAGGCTTTGTATGGGCTTAAGCAGGCCCCTAGAGCATGGTTTGATAAGTTGAAAGGTGCTTTGATGCTGTTTGGCTTCAAGTCCAGCTGCTGTGACCCTTCCTTATTCATCTCCAAAACTTCTTCTCGCTGCACTTATATCCTTGTGTATGTGGATGACATAACAGTCACTGGTACTGATGCTGCCTACATTCAATTTTTGATTACTCAACTTCATTCTCAATTTGCTCTCAAAGACCTTGGCACCTTGGATTTCTTTCTTGGAATTGAAGTAAAGCCTCATGGTTCTGGTGGTTTGATTCTGTCACAAGGCAAATACATTCGGGATTTACTTACTCGAGCTGCCAAGTTTGATGCAAAAGGCATCTCCTCTCCCATGCCCACTAGCTGTAAGCTCTCACGTTTTGGCTCTAATTATTTCTCAGATCCTCATCTCTACAGGTCAGTTGTGGGTGCACTTCAATATGCCACCATAACCCGTCCAGAAATCAGCTATGCAGTCAATAAGGTCTGTCAATTCATGGGGCAGCCACTAGATGATCATTGGAAAATAGTTAAAAGAATTCTCAGATATTTAAAAGGGACTATTACATATGGTCTTGTGCTTCAAAGGGTTGTTCCTCAACATCCTCTCTCTATTACAGCATTTTGTGATGCTGACTGGGCTAGTGATCCTGATGATAGCCGGTCTACATCTGGTGCTGCTCTCTTCTTGGGTCCTAATCTCATTTCTTGGTGGTCCAAGAAACAAACCTTGGTAGCACACTCAACAACTGAAGCTGAGTATCGAAGTTTAGCTCTTACTTGTGCTGAAATTTTGTGGGTTCAATCCCTCCTTCGTGAGTTACAGGTTCCCTATGTTACTCCACGCATTTTCTGTGATAACTTGAGCACTGTTGCCCTCTCTCATAATCCTGTTTTACATGCTCGAACTAAGCATATGGAATCGGATATCTTCTTTGTTCGCGAACGTGTGCTTGCTCATGAGCTTGTTGTCTCGCACATTCCTGCTTCAGATCAACTGGCAGATACTCTGACTAAGGCTCTTTCCCCTGGACGTTTTGCTGAGTTAAGAACCAAACTCAGGGTTCTTGATTCCCTGCCTCAAGATCCCTGAGTTTGCGGGGGTGTATTAGATAAGTAGTGGTTTACTTTCTGCTATTGTACACATGCATGTATCATATCCTCATCTCCCTTTCTGTTTTAGCTTTCTGTTATACGGTTTGTTTGTTAGAACTGACTCACTTGCTGAGTCAGCATTCTCACACTCTATATATTAATAGAGTGTAGCATTGTGTAATGTGTGCTCTTCATAATAAAGATTCTCTCTCTCTCTCTTTCTCTCTCTCTCTCTTGCATCAATGGTGTCTCTCAAGAATTCTATTAAAATCCAAAATCAAATTGTCCCGGTAACTGTAACCTCCCCACATATATGCATATTGAGACATGTATACTTGTAATGGAGCATTAAGGAGAACACTTCTCAATTTGAGAGAAGAGTCTATCAAAATTCCAACATAATCACAAAGTATGGCATGTGTTGAATTGAATCATAGCAATCACTGATGATGTAATACAGTCAAAAGGAAAAAAGTCTATTAAAACACGACTAATCATAGCATGTGTTGAATGATATCAGTGCCTCTTTGTTTTTATACAAAACAAAGGGGAAAAAATGCTGCAACAAATCAAAACCCCAAAACCATAAAAAAATTAGTTGTTTGAAAACAAGTCAGAATATTGATTAGCTCAACCAAAACTTCTCCTTCATAAAGTATGAGAAAAGTATCACAGAGGGCTAATGCAAAAAGTTTTGGTCCAGCTAACTATTCAAACAAAACCCAACAACATTTACCAGTATTATTTGCTTTATTGCTCCAACAAACTGAAAGTTCTGATGCCCTCTCTATACCCTTTGACTTATATGGAGCTATACTGTGCATGCCAATATGGAGAGAACCCAATAAATCATTCTCGATGCACTCATACCTGCATTAAATATCAGAATGCACAATCAAATCAATGTCAAAAGTTAGATATGTACTAGGATCTTATTTAAAACAGCACTCACATTTTTTGACAAAGTTTGTCGATAATTGTCGACAGATTGATTATCTGCATCCTTATCTCCATAACCTTATCATCTGAAAAGGTTTCAAATGGCTCCTCCAAAATTTTAGAGAGCTTTTCTACATTTGCCTCAAGTTGCTGCTGTTGATCCTCAAACAAGTTCTGTTTTATTTCCCTTTGAGCTTCTGACATTTCATCCTTAAAAAGCTCATCTCCAAACATATAAAATGCAAATGCATATGAATATGATAGGACACGCCTGGATCTGAATAGTCTGGAGAGTCCATTATTTACCCAGCTATAATCTCTGAGTGTAGAATCTTTTTCTTCTGAAATAGCAATCTTCCCTTGTATAGTCTCTTTCAGTTTACTTTCAAGCTTAAAGGAGTCTGTGTGAGCTTTATAACGGTTATGATAGTGCATATATCGATATAGATCCCGCTTTGCCCGTTCAGATGTTTTTTCATGGTCTTTGTAGCGACCACAGCTATGACCAGCTATACTTGACCAAGTATGGTCTCGCCCAGTAGCTCCACCACACAGCCAACTGCACCATAAAAGGAAAATTATTATGGAAAACATAAGTTAATGTTAGCCTGGAAAGTCATAGGTGGCTTCAACTCCAGATCCCCATTACCATACTTAAAATTAACCGAATTTTTATAACCAAAATGGAAAATAATTACACAGAAAACACTAATGAACAGAAAAAAGTTGGACGAGAATATATAATTCAGGAAGGAGGAATACTCACCAAAATGCTTGGCCACAGATACAGCTAACCAAGTTACAACCGCCATTCTTCTCCACCGGTTTGTGGCACTTTGGACAAGGCTTCGTATGAACAGTTATCCAATTAACAGTTTCTGATTCATCTCGACACTTCTTAGCCCAAAGCTCCCACATCAAACATGAACAAGGGGAGTGTGCTTCTAACAAGCAACTAAAACAAAATTGTAAACCACATGAACATTCTACCTCACATAATTCATCATCCTCAATGCGTATTGCATTCCCACAATGAGGCGTGCTAGGACACCATTTAACTCTCTTATTGTCTTCAATGTAGGATTCAAGAAGAAAGCGTTCGTATTTCTCTGCCATATCAGGGTGCTTTCTACTGAGCAGAGTTCTTACAACAGCTTCATCACAAATGGAATAGCATTTGTGTGCCATGCATCTAATTCGTTTACTTTGACCCTCATTTATCTTGACAAGAAAATGCTCTGTCCAACCTGTAAAAATAAACATGAATATGGAAAAAGCTTACAAATGAATTTTGCATGAATTTCTAATTATTGTGTAAAAGATAACAAAGAAAAAAAATTTCTGATAACACTTCAAATCCTAGCGAGTTCAACCATTAATAGTGAAATCACAACATATCACAATCAGTGATCAATCTTTGATAAGGATTTAAAAAAGGCTAGCGTAGACCCTTACTAACTGCATTATCAATGAAAAACATTATAAGCCATGCCAGCCACCAAACACCTAATACTCTTGTTGAAAAGATATAGAATTTTTATGTATGAAATCTTGGAAAGGCCATGAATAACAAAACAAACAAACAAACACTCACAGTTGTTGCAAAAGCAGTGACCACAGTCCATTCTTGTTGCTTCATCACCAGGAACATCCTCTATGCAGATTTCGCACATTACTGAAGAACTAACAGGTGAATTAGAGTCACGATGTTCATCAACACTAACACCAGCTTCAGCAAACAGAAATGCTTTCCCCTTGTCTACATAAACTGCAAACAACTTCTCCACATCCCAACGATGAAAAATAAGCAGTGTACGTGCATGTTGCTCTCTAAGGGAAAGCATGTCCATCACTCTACGCAAATCCTCTTTCTGCACAAATGTGAATAGGTATCTCAGTAAAACCTAAAAATACATTTTAATCTGAATGAAACATACTAAGAGAAATTCTTCTTTTTCTCATGTTACCTGTGCAGCGAGCAGTGATTCCTTTGTAATCACCTGCAAGTGGAAAAGTAGTTCAGCAGAACATAGTCAGTCTAAGGAAAATATGCAAAGAATCCAGCTTCACATCATAGTCATAAATAAAAAAATTAATCCTATGATCACATAACCATGAAGTATAAACCCATGAAAAATCACAACCAGGCTAACTGTCAAAAGTAGAAACACTTCCAATTCCTACCATAGACTCAGTATCAAATACGAATTCAACAAATTACGTTCATACAGTACAAAATAATGCACTTAATGAAGATAACAATCAATTCACCCACATAGTGATAAGTAAAAGAAAAAAGAAAAAAAAGAAAAAAACACGTAAATCATCGTCAGAAGGAACCCCAAAAAAACTGAGCTTTTTAAAAAGAAGAAAAAGAAGATGGAAAAATTGGGATTCCCCAAAGACCTATTGGAAAAAGAAAAACCGAAAGGGAACGATGGGAATACCTGAGTAGTGGGACCCTTGGAATTGAGCAAGGGGTAATCTTGGTCGTCGTTTTCGAAGGCATCGATGGAATCATCCTGATCGGAGGAGTAATGATATTCGTCGTCGCTACTCGCATAATCGTCCATCACAACGACTCAATAACAAAAAAGAATGGGTATTTTGAATTGATAAAAAACACTTAATCGTAATATCAAACAATTAGGGATTCGAAAATTCAATCGATTCCGGGTTACCGGAGAAAATCAATAACGGAAATTCCGACGACAGCGCCGGCGAGAGATAGGGGAAAGGTACACTCAGGGCACTCTCCCACACAACACAGACACACGCAAACAAACTTTCCTTTCCCCTTTGCAATTTTGCTCACACAATTTTAATTACTTATAAAAAAAATTGTTACAAAAAATATTAATAATAATCATTATTATTATTATTGTTATTATTCGTTTCGTCTATTCTATTTGAACGTGAAATCTTAGATTTGATTTGGTGATAAGATTTCATTTTATTTTTTTATTTTTTTTGGAAAGGAAAATAATATGAGAGGTTTGAGTTTTTTACTTTAACGGCGTCGTTTTCATGCTTCCTCCTCACTTCGCTTCGCGTATGGTTTACATTAATTGAGAATTTGCGTCACGCTTTTTTATCATGATGATTAGTTTTATTTATATTTACTTTTAGTAAGTATTTTCAATGAATAATTATTTAGGAAATCTCCTTAGTGATACAAGAGAATCTTCTAAATGATTTTAGAAAAAAATTACAATTTGCAAGAGAATCTCATTAGTAATTATTTTTATTTTTGAAAGAATTAAAAGATTTTTTTTTATAGATTTGATGTTCTTCATAATTGGGATTCTATTGTTAATTTCCAAGATTGCGAGAATGACGGAATATTAATGCGGTGAGATTCTGAATTTTATTTTTATTTTTATTTTCTTGGCTAATCACGTCATCAAATTAGATGATAGCTTCATGTTTGGGTTGAATTCTCGGGCAAAGAAGGTTTCTTTTGGACAACAGTTTATGCTAGTCCCCAAGAAGAGAAGAGAAGAGTGTTGTGGGAAGAATTGAAACACATTGGGAGGACTATGAATAATCCTTGGATGTTGTCACGAGATTTCAATGAAATTGCCTCTGTTTCTGAAAAGAAGGGAGGTGGGCCAGTTGATATTAACAGATGTAATATGTTCTGTGATGTACTGGATGCTTGTGGGGTAATGGACTTAGGTGGTGGAGGTAACAGATTTTCTTGGAAGGGGCCTAAATTTCTTCATTTGGAAAGAGTGTATAAAAGGTTGGATAGAGCAGTTGCAAATGACTTGTGGAGAACCTGTTTTGAGGATGCTGATGTCCTGAATCTCCCTTGGTTATTTTCAGATCACTGCCTTGTTTTGGTCCCTTTGGATAAAGGGGATTATTGCTGGAGAGAGAGACCCTTTAGATTCATGGTTGTCTGGCAAAATGATGCTAGATTTAATACTTTCCTCAAAGCTAATTGGGATCATGATTCCAAGCTGCTGGATAGTTTAGTCTCATTCATCCCTGTGGTCAAGGAGTGGAATAAGGAAGTATTTGGTTTTACATTGGGCAGAAAGAATAGGGTGATTGCTCAGTTGGATGGAATCCAAAAACAGATGTGCTTGCATGGCAGTTTTCACTTGGAGGATTTGGAAGCCAAGCTAATCAAAGAGCTAGATGAAATCCTTGATCAAGAAGAGAAGATCTGGTACCAAAAATCAAGGGGTGATTGGATCAAGGTGGTGATAGAAATACTAGGTTCTATCACACTAGCACCTTGATCCGAAGAAAGAGAAATAAAATTCTAAAGCTGCAGAATAATGAGGGTGGCTGGGTTTTTGGAGAAGAAGAGCTGATTGATCTTGCTAGGAGTTTTTACTCCAACCTTTTCAAGAAAGACGCGCTTGAAACTGATTGGAGTCAGACTGTGTATTCCTGGCCAAGTATCAGTGAGGAGGATAGGAAGCTGCTGTCTGTGAATATATCTTAGGAGGAAGTCAGGAGGGCATTCTTTCAAATGCCAGCTTTGAAAACTCCAGGTCCGGATGGATTCCCTGCACTATTTTTCCATAGGAATTGGGAATTGGTTAAAGAGCAAGTTTTTAACAGCATGAAGTGGTATTTCAGTAATTCAGATCAAATTAAAGAGATCAACCAAACTCTTTTTACTTTGATTCCTAAGGTTGATAGACCTTGCTCTATGAAGCAATTTAGATCTATTGCTCTCTGCAATACAGTCTACAAAGGGCTTAGCAAAATTCTGGTTAATAAGATTAAGCCTTTTATAGGGAATCTTATTGCTCCTAACCAGGTTAGCTTTATCCCTAAGAGGAATATCCAAGATAATATTATCATTGTCCAAGAGCTTATATATTCCATGCATAGGATGAAACGGAGGAAGAGTTTCTTTTCTATCAAGATTGATTTAGAGAAGGCATATGATAGACTCAATTGGAGTTTTATTAAATCTGTCCTTGAGGAGGTGAAGTTGCCTGGTGATTTGATTGATGTGATCATGGGTTGTGTTACAAGTCCTTTCATTGAGGTTTTATGGAATGGTGCCAAAACATCAGGATTTCAGCCTCAAAGGGGAATAAGACAAGGGGATCTCTGATCCCCTTACTTATTTGTTCTTTGCATAGAAAAGCTTTCGCATCTAATTATGGATGAAGTGGGGAGAAAGAGTTGGCACCCAATAAAAGCAAGTAGATCAGGACCTCAAATCTCCCATTTGATGTTTGCAGATGACATTATCATGTTTGCTGAAGCATCCTTAAGTCAGCTGGAGTGCATTTCTGATTGTTTAGACAAGTTTTCTAGAATGTCAGGGCAATGTGTGAGTATGGAGAAATACTGCATCTATTTCTCTAGAAATACTCCTCAGGAGACTGTGAACTCTATCTCGGATGTCAGTGGATTCAAGGTGGTTAAGAATATTGGCTGTTATTTGGGAGGACTAATGAGACATGGAAGGATTGGAAGAAATCATTATGCTAATGTCTTGTCTAGAGTGCAGAATAGGCTTCAAGGATGGAAAGCCAAGTCCTTGTCTATGGCTAGGAGAATCACATTGGCAAAGAGTGTTATTTCTGCTATCCCACTGTATCATATGCAGAATAATGCTCTGCCAATACATATATGCCAGGATATTGGAAAATTACAACGCAAGTTCATTTGGGGAGATACAGATGAAATAAGGAAGGCTCATTATGTTGCTTGGGACCAATTATGCAAGCCTAAGGAGTGTGGTGACCTTGTATTATCAAGCTCAGAATCCAAAATGAAGCTTTCATGCAAAAGATATCTTGGATGCTTATTAATGACCAAGATAGCCTTTGGGCCAAAGTTCTCCTTGGCAAATATGGTAGAAAACTTGATCCCATAAGAGGTTTTATTGCATGAAAGAGTGACTCTTCCTTATGGAAGAATATTTGTCAAGCTAGAACCAAATTGGATCAATATCTGAGCTGGGAGGTGGGAAATGGAAACTCAATCCTGTTCTGGTCGGATTGCTGGTGGATGGGAGTGTAATCTGTTTGATTTTGCTACTGTGAAGCCTCCTGATCCTGATTTAAAGCTGACAATTTGTGATATTGCTGATCCTATAACAGGTGATTGGAAATAGGACTATCTGAAGTTGTATTTTGATGACTCCATTCTTGGAAAGTTCCAGAGCATGATGCCACCTATGCCAAATGGACCAAATGACAGACTTAACTGGGTAAGGAATAGTCCTAGTAGGTCTCTGGTTCGAAATGCCTACTGTCAGTTAGCTGATTCGAATGTAGAGAAAGACAAAATCTGGTCAAGCATTTGGAAATGGAAAGGTCCATAAAGAATAGTTGTATTCTTATGGATAAGCTACCTACTAGGAGTATCACTTGTCATTGGAGTGGAGGAGAGATTCTTTGTCCAATCTGTCTAGTTGAGCAAGAGTCATTGATGCATGTTCTTAGGGATTGCAGAAGGGCTAAGACTATGTGGGAAAGCTGGTTTGGAGGTATGATTCCTAATTCTTTTTTGACAGTAGAAGAGTTTGACTGGTTCAAACTCAACATCTGCACACCTTTCTCATCCAAGTTGTGGCACTCCTGGAAGGAGGTCTTTTTTGTATCTTGTTGGTTTCTTTGGCAATGGAGAAATCTTGTGATCCATGATTAGGAGTTTACATGGCCTGGTGACTCGATTAGCAAGATTTTGAATTATTTGGGAGATATGAAGTTGAACTGCAATAGGGATCCTTTCCCGAAAATTCAATCATCCCCCACTTCTTTTATGGAATGTAGCAATAAGGACCACCAGGAGGCTATTAAAATTCTGGTAGATAGGACTGTCAATCAACATTCTAGTGCAGGAGCATGTGGAGGCTTCATCTGCGATCCAAGTGGAGTTTGGTTGAGTGGCTTTTCTTTCAACATTGGGACTTGCTCGATTCTGGAGGCTGAGATTTGGGGGGTTTGGCAGGGGCTCGAGTTGGCTTTGGTTTGCAGGTACAGAAAGTATGGATTGGTTGTGACAGTAAGGAAGCTCTCCTATGCATAAATGCTTCTACTGATTCGGATGGTTACTCTCCCCTGCTCAGAAAAATCAAGAGAATTGTCCATGCTTTTGAACATGTTTACTTTGAGTTTATCCCTAGAGAGCTTAATAGCTGTGCTGATAGGCTAGCTCTATTAGGTTTTAGTTGTAGGGGTGGAGAGTTGAAATTATATTTCTCTCCTCCTGTTACAGTTAATTATTTTAATTTACTTATTTACTCACAGTGTAATCTATTAACTGACTCCTATTAGTTACGATTCTGTTTTCAGTTAGTTAGCTTAGAGTTAGTTTAGATTCTCTTCTATTAGCGGGGTTGTTAGATAACTTTAGATAGCTTTGCTTACGTCATCTTGTATTCATGCTGATATAAATATCAGCAAGCTTCAGTATCAATATAGTTTTTCAGATTCTATTCACTTTATGGATTCAAGTTGTAATATGGTATCAGAGCTCTGAAGAGAGCTCTGGTATTTTTCTTGATATTTTCTTGCCTTTTCTCGCTAATTTTCTTGCACTTTCTCATCATTCTTGTTACTGCAAGATAGCATTCACAATGGCAAACCAAAACCAGAACTCTCTTCCAGAATATCTCACGAATCCATCAAATCCGTTCTTTTTGCATCCAAGCGAATCACCATCCTTAGCTCTAGTTTCCTTTCAGTTGAATGAAAGAAACTATCACAATTGGAGCAGAGCGATGACTATGGCTCTAGTCTCCAAGAATAAACTCTGTTTTGTTGATGGAACTGTCAACATGCCTGAAGCTGCAGATCCTCTT